AGCCAATATCGCTCCTACTCCTCGCACACCACCCCGACATACACTTTCCAGCATAAGACAGCCACGCCCTTCTTCCTCGAACAATCAATACCAGAATGAGAGAGCTAGGAGTTTGGCAGATGACTTGAACGACGCGGTCATTGCTACAGCTTCGATTACGTTCAATCCAAACGGCTTCATGTCGAACAGACCTGTCAGTGCCGGGGCAACGCCATTCCTCTCCACAGGATTGATCTTCGATATGGATCAAGTCAATCATGCTCTCGCCGGCCACCGGGACCCCTTCAGAACTTCAAACGCAAAAGGAAGAGGAACCTCTCTGGAACGAACAGCAAAGGAGAAGAGAGTCCAGGACTTACCAAAAGGGTCTTTCTCCACCAACCCAGGTGATACTGCCATAATAACTCGACCATCAACACCCATGCAAGAACCAGTTCGGTCACTTTCAGATAACCCCCCGGTAGATGGAGTTCGAGCTAGCTATCGATCATGGAGAGATGCCAGGGCAAGTCCACCTGTGGAGAAGGCCTGGTCAATCTGCGAACAAGGGGATGACGACCAAGGTGGCTCGGTCGAAAAGGCTATTGCGGAAGCTTTATCGGGAGTCGAGCACAACAACCGCAGTCGAAAAGCAAGTCACAGTTTGAGATTTTTTAGAGAAGGTCTGCCAGAGGACAAGACCAAGAAGCGCGAAAACAAGAACAGAGCTCATCCAAAAGATGCAAATTCTTCTGCTAGGATCAGTAGCATACCAGAAGGTGGGACAATAGATACAAGAGGCATTGCAAGTGAGCCGTTATCACCTTTTCCAGATCCAAAGTCGCCTACCAAGTCGTCCGCCCACAGCAACGGTTACGAATCCACTACCAATCCTACCGAGGGACTGGCTACCGAAACTGATTACTTTGATCCATCTCACAGTATCGACACTCCGCGTCCAGACAAAGTAAGACGAATGCCTTCACAGCTACTGGCGGATATACGCAAGCATCACAATTTAACACCCGGTAATGCGAAAGGATCTTCCTTCTCGGGAAGCATACCAGCTCCAGAATCTGAGAAGTCAAAGTCGGATTCGGGCGAGGAGAATTCAATAGGCAAACCTCAGTTAGATCGAGAAGACAGTGAAGATGGCACTAAACTAATGAAGACTAAGAGTCGTGATGACGGTGATGAATCCGGCGAGGAGAAGATTTCATCGGCGTTATTCGTTCCTCACAAGACCCCTCATGGTACATCTGAACGGAGAGGAGAGGGCCCGCGAGACAGAGTAGACCTTGTCACGAGGGCTGGGGGTAATGATCAAGTCCAATCAGAAGATTCAGACCCACAACAGTGGCTTGAAGAACATCGAGTCCCATCTTGTGAAGTAGATAAAACTTATGAAAGTCAAGAAGGTAAATCACGACCATTGCCATCGCCACGTCTTCCTAAGCAGCATGAGCCAGCAGCAGAAAGCAATGGCTATGTCACTCCTACAGATACTTATGACCCAAATCATGACTCATACGATGAAGGAGAATCCACGGCATATGAAGAATCAAGCTTAACTGATGATCCTGAGGCAACACCTACATCTTCAAGGCGTCGTCGTAGCTTCATGGTGCGAACACCCAAGATACATGTTACCGAAGAGCAAGACGAAGCTAGAAAATCAAAAGGCTCCGTTGAATTGATTCCGTACAAGCATCAAGTCGGTGGTCACACTACCATGTGGAGATTTTCGAACCGTGCAGTTTGCAAGGAATTAAATAATGGTGAAAACAAGTTTTACGAGATATGCGAGCAAAAACATCCACAGCTTATGAAATTTCTTCCAAGGTACGTGTGTATTTCATTGACTCATCCCCGCTTCTGGCATCGAAGCTGAGTCTTCATCAAGACAACAAACCAAGCCCTTCCTCAGGCACCAGTTTCAACCTGAACTAATGTACTTATTTTGATTGATCTTTAGATATATTGGTGTTTTGAATGTGACTTTGGAGAAAAAGCATGTGCGACCAAAAGTACCACCCAAGGATGACAAAGATGCCACGGCCGAATCCAATGGTACTGACGGACAACTGACAAAAGATGATGCTGCTACCTCGACCGGCACGAATGGGCAGGCAAACTCTATCAAGACTCCAGAGCCAACAAGAATGATCAGCCAGTCACTAAAAACATCTTCTATTCCTATAGCAACTGTCAATTTTGCCGACAATAGACACATCATACCAAAGAGCTTTCTGCAACCTCATCCTCATCTGATTGACCCCGTCGAGGCCCCTAATACTAAGGAGTCTCACCAGCAAAAAGGTCAAAGTCAAACTCAACCACCACCCAGCGGTGATTTCACGTTTCGTCCAAAGCTATCAGACAAGCATGCCGTCAGCTGGGGCGCAACCACCATCAACAAGGAACTTCGAAACAAAGTTTTTGGAGAAGCATTTTTACAACAACCGATCCCCATTCATCGACATAAAAAGCTAGGAACGCAGAACCGAGCAATCCGAAACGGTGCCTCGCTACGAAACGCCAATTCGGAGTCCAGCTTGAAAGTTCAATCAAATAAGATGGCCGATGGCCAACAACCTAAAGACTCAATGCGCACAAGAGCTATCAAATCTGCGGCTGAACAAAAGACTGGACTCTCGCCAATGACACCTGTTACGCCTGCCCCGCCCGTGTCGACCAATGATTCCAAAGTGAACGGACATGGCCACGTCGAGAATGGAGAAGAAGATGATGAATTTGATCATATGGCTGGCACTAGTGCTCCTGAGCCTAAGATTGCAGGACCTCAAGATTCTCCCAAACGACCAAAGAGACGTTTCTCCAGTGGCGGGCTTCGCCGTAGGCCTACGGAGGTAGCTGATGATCGCGGAAATCTCAAGTATTTTGAAGAGGCAGATGATGCTGGCTACAAGGGCGATGAAGAAGACGTTTTTGCTATGGATCCCGAACCTGCTGACGCACAAAAGTTTTTATCATCTGTGAAGGAAGAGCCGACGCCCAAGCTTGGAAATGTCAATGAGATGCCTAAATTGACGCCAGTTGATTCTAATACCATGATTAAACGTCCAGTCACCCCGAAGATATCACCGAGTGCGCTTATCATCCCTCCTCGACCTGTCAATCCCAAGGAAGCCCAGACGCAAGGTCAACGGATTCAATATTTCTTACTTTTGGAAGATTTGACGGCTGGCATGAAGAAACCTTGTATTATGGATCTCAAAATGGGAACTCGTCAATACGGTATCGATGCAGTGGAGAAGAAACAGCGGTCCCAACGCACAAAGTGTGAGGCGACAACATCTCACGATCTAGGTGTCAGAGTTTGTGGTCTGCAAGTTTGGGATGTGAAGACTCAAGGGTACGTTTTCCATGATAAGTATTTCGGAAGAGATCTCAAAGCTGGACCGGACTTTCAAAAGGCTCTTACTCGGTTCTTGTATGATGGTGTTGACGATGGAAGTATTTTACGACACATTCCGACTCTCATTCATAAGCTTTCCACACTTGAGGTTTTGATCAGGAGTTTACCAGGATACCGTTTCTACGCTGCCAGTTTGCTTCTGTTCTATGATGGCGAAACGCACGAAGAGGAAGAGTCTGATAGTAATACATTTGAGCCTCTAAGTAGAAGAAGGGAAATCGATCTCAAGATGGCAGATTTCGCAAATTGTGCAATCAGAGAAGATTGCCTAGCACCAGGAAGAAACTGTCCACCTCGTCATCCTGATCAGCCGGATCTGGGATTTCTCAGGGGATTGAAAAGCTTGAGGAAGTATTTCTTGGCTATTCAGAGAGATGTCAGGGCGAAGATGGGTATCAAGACGAGAGATTGGAATGATGAGCAAAGACAAATTGATTTGGAGGATGCGTATGATGAGGATGAGGCGAATTTGAGTTATTAATTTCGCGATGCTCTTCCTCATTGTACTAACTTATCGGTCTGTGGCCGAGAGATTATACCTAGCAGTTGTTGGGATCACAACAACTAAATTATATTCATTGTCGTATACCCAGTCGAAGTTTTTTTTCGTTCGTTCGTTCTTTCTATCAGCATGGATGGGATGAGGAAAGGAAAGATGGGGCTCGGGATTTTTGATTCAAGCTTTTACTCGCTTGTTTACTCGTTTGCATTCGTTAGGAGTATAGGCAATTCCCAGCTTTTTTTTGGTCATGATTCAGGACATGGGAAAATGCTGCATATCATACCCTGCATATTGGTAGGTGTTTGGGCTTGGGTTTAAGATTGAGATTGAGTCTTTAATTTTATGGGTTTGTGCTTGTGTTCTGGTTTGTGGGAGGAGGAACGGGGCTGGGTATGGAATGGAATGGAAGGGGAGGAGGTTCGCTTGTGGTGATTGTGGAGTAGGGGGTGCGGCGGTGTATTGCTTTGTTTCTGTGCATTTTTTTTTTCTGCTTGTTTTTTTTTTTTTTTTTTCTGTTTGTGGGATGGATTATTGTGGTGGGGGATGAGGGGGTTGGGTAGTGATAGTGGTAGTGTGCAGACATTCAGATGCGAGGAATTTGCAACTGGATGGGGGGGAAGTGGGAAGGGACTTCAGATGCATGGGTCATCGATGTCGTGGTTATACGTGACGTGATCGGTGGTCTTCTTCGATGATGATGCTTGTGTGAATGGAGGGGTGTGGAGAATTGATTTGGGGTGCGTGAGGGTAGTCGATAGTCGGTAGTGGATAGTGGATAGTGGATAATGCATAGTTTATGGAGTGAGTGAGGGAGAAGTTAGCTGGTTAGTCAGAGTCGGTAGTCGGTAGTCGGTAGTCGGTAGTCGGCTTGTAGGAATATATAATTTAAATAATCATTGTGTGCATGGACTGAGTGAGTGAGTGAGTGAGTAAGGACCAAGAAGGTTAGATCATACTCTGTATGTAGTGCGGTAATATTTATATTTATTCATTGCCAACAATCATTACTAAAACGAGGCTTCTTCACAGCAGTACACGTACACTAGAGTACACGCTACCACGCCTCCCAAATTGCATCGATCACTCATCCTCCATACCAATACCCTCCACCTCTCCCAACCACTCACCTTTCGCCCCCTTCAACAACTCATTAACATTAACCGTGCCACTCGTCAAATACCTCTCGCTCACCCCCACGTTAACTCTCTGCGCCAACAGCGCTCTCAATTCCGCTCTCAGCGCTCCCACTTCCGCTTTACTCATCCCTCTCGCTTCCTTCTCCTTCAACCGCCTTCCAGTTCCCCTGCCCTTTCTCCCTCCGCCCAAGGCTTCAAATTCCTCCTCATCATACTCAACGCCCAATTCCTCCGCTGCATTTTTAACCCAATCGTCATCATGACCTTTCTTTTCCTTCGCCAATGCGCTATCTGCGATTTTCTTCGCGAGCGTCACGCGCGGTTTAAGTCTCGCCACGACTCTGCGATCGATATCTAGACTGCGGATGTAGAATTTTGATTTCTTTCCTTCTCCATGCAGCGCATTTTGGGCATGGACTTTCGCGACCAATCTGCGCGTTCCGACGACTTCCTCGGGGCCGCAGAGGAGGATGCTAGATCCGGAGGCGGCGGCACGCGCGGTACGACCGGATCGATGTACGTACATGTCTGCGGTGCGGGGGAGATGGTAATGGATGACTAGTTGGACGCCTCCGATGTCGAGACCACGTGCTGCGACGTCGGTGGCGACGAGGACGGAGCCGGTGTTATTTGTGCGGGAGAACTTTTCGATGGAGCGCATGCGGGCTTTTTGGATCATTTGGGAGTGGAGGGAGTGGGCGGGGATGTTGAGGGTTTGGAGCATGGGGGTTAGGCGGCGGACTGAGTGGATGGAGTTGGTGAAGATGAGGGTTCGCTGATTGGGGTGGTGCAGGAGGAGAGAATAGAGATATAGATCCTGTGAATTGTTAGTAGTGTGTATGTGAATTGTGGTTTATGGAATGTTACCTTTTCTTCTCCGCCACATTCTACCATACCCTCTTTCAGATTGGCTGCCATTTGCGAGATTGGGTTAACGTCAACAAATTTGGGTTTATCTTCTCTAAAATTGAGCTTCTTCAAAAGATACTCCATAGATTGACTTTCATCCTTGAAAGATTGCTTGCCCTTTCCTGCAAGCTTTTGTTGCAAACCCTTATGGAAGGTGGCCGAGAAAACTAAAGTCTGCCTGGGTGGTAATGTATCTTCCTCTTCGTCGTCTTCATCACCGTGTGTACGATCCAAAGCATTTAAAATCTCCTCTGCTTCTTTGAAGTGACCATCGGTCAACAGTCTGTCTGCTTCATCAATAACCAAGAACCTAACCTGTTTCAAGCTGGCTGATAATTCATTACTAGAGCTTATAACCTCCCATAGACGACCCGGTGTACCGATTATGATATCTGCCTTGGCTAATTGACGTTGTTGTTTTTGAACGGAAAGACCTCCAGTGACAGCAGCTACCCATGGACTTGTAGGCATACCCTTACATAAAGCTGTAATATGTTCAGTCAATTGATGTGCCAATTCTCTTGTTGGCGAAAGAATTAATGCAGTTGGCGGTCTTGTATTTTTCTTTAGCTCATCCTCATCAAGTTCTCCATATGCCTCAAGCCACTTTTCTACTATCGGTATTCCGAAGGCCAATGTTTTTCCAGAACCAGTAGATGCCTTTCCGACGACATCGTGTCCAGCTAGCACTTCTGGAATAGCCTCTGATTGAATTGGAGTTGGCTTCGAGAAGCCCATTTTAGATAATGCAGATAAAGTATTTGACGAGAGATCTAGCTCTTCCCAGCTTGAAACATCAACTTCTTTTGCAGCATCTTCTTCGAGTGCTTCGAAAACATTCTTCAGAGGATCTAATTTAAGGCCGGCAACTTTGTCGATTGACTGTTGTTGCGCTTTCTCTTTTTTCTGTTTCTTCTCCTTCTTATTTGGTAATTTCTCTTCCTGGTCTTTCGTATCTGGCTTGTCCTTCTTCTGTTTCTTCTCGGGCTTTGGCTTTTTCTCTAAATTCTCTTTCTGTCCTTCTGAGATTTCATTTCCCATGCTCTCTTCAGCGGGCTTCAGTATTGGCTTCACTTCGCTGGTCTCATCCATCTCTGTAGTTTTATCATCCCCATTATCGTCTCCAAAGCCTTCAAATTCTTCGTCGTCGTCTTTTTTAGGCTGTATTTTGGAAGATACCTAAGAGAAATGAGCATCCTTCCATATATCCTCCGAGGATATACATACAAATGTGACAACATCTCCATCCCGTACTACCTCAACATCATCCACCTCTTCCAATCCATAGAAACCTTCGGCGTCTTCAAACATATCTGGCATTGTTACTTCGTTCCATGGTAAAGAATCTACCGCAACTTGTTTCTTCGGCGCAACTTTCTTTTGTTTCTTGGATTGTTTCTGGATCTTTTGACGTTTTGGGGCCTTCTGTGAGCCATTGGTCTCTGAATGAGAGCGTTTCTTCTGTTTAGTATCCATTTTGTATTGAAAATCCTCGAGGTCGATATTCTTGAATTTTCTCGTTGTATCAAATCAACTCGTTTCTCTCAGAAAAGCATATCAATAACTTTTTTTCTTGAAGACCCCTGTCGACCTAGCCTTTCAGCCCCGCGCTAGATTAGTGGTTCAGCCTTGTCGTAAAAATCAATCATTCATCGATAACTTCAGTTCTTCTCCACAACTTTGTTCATTCATAATCGTTCCCTTTCCAAGATGGGAAAATCCTCAAAGGATAAGCGCGATGCGTATTACAGGCTCGCAAAGGAACAAGGATGGAGAGCTCGAAGTGCTTTCAAATTATTACAACTTGATGAAGGCATTAACCCCACTATATAATTACTCTGTGCAGTGTTGCATTGCGCAAAGTACCTTGACTAACTTGATATTAGAATTCGACCTCTTCTCCGATGTTACTCGTGTCGTAGACCTTTGCGCTGCTCCTGGAAGTTGGTCTCAAGTCCTCTCCCGAGTCTTGATCAAAGGAGAGAAATTCGGTCGAGCAGCATGGGAAGACAAGGAGGCTAGAATGCGACAAAACATACTTGAAATCAACATCCCATTTTCAACAGAAGAAAAGCAGCCACCAAACGAGACCGAATTGAAACCTAAGAAAGATGTAAAAATTGTGGCTATCGATTTACAACCCATGAGCCCTTTGCAAGGAATCATAACACTTCGAGCAGATATTACACATCCTGCAACCGTTCCATTACTTCTAAGTGCTCTCGATTCTTCTTATGATCCGAAGTCCTTGTCCCAGCAAGCTTCCAACCCCGTGGATCTCGTTATTAGTGATGGTGCTCCTGATGTTACAGGTCTTCATGATCTAGACATTTATGTTCAATCACAGTTACTTTTTGCCGCTTTAAATCTTGCACTTTGTGTCCTCCGTCCAGGTGGAAAGTTTGTTGCAAAAATCTTCAGGGGAAGAAATGTTGATCTTTTATTTGCACAGTTGAAAATCTTCTTTGAAAGGGTGGTTGTTGCAAAGCCAAGGTCGAGTCGCGCAAGCAGTGTAGAAGCTTTCATTGTCTGCTTGAATTTCCAACCCCCAGAGGGATTTAAAGCTAGCATGGAAGATCCTATGGGTGTTGGGGATAGACTGGCCAAAATGGTCGATACAGCTGTTAGTCAAGAGCCAGTAGTTTCGCCTATCGATTCACAATATATCGGAGGCGACAAACCGTCAGGAAATCAAGTCAACACAACAACACGAAGAGAAGATGGAATATGGGAAGTTAAACTTCCTAGTGATGAAGCTGAAGCCAGAAAATCGGGAAGATGGATAGCTCCATTTTTGGCATGTGGGGATTTATCTGGTTATGATGCTGATGCTTCATATCATTTACCAAAGGATCGCATTACACTTGATCCTGTACAGCCTCCAACAGCACCTCCATACAAGAGAGCTCTTGAAATGAGGAAAGCGGCAGGTGGAGCATATGGAAAGACTACGACGGGAAAGACAGAATAGGAATCATAATATCTCAAAGGTATAGGAAGGAATAGCGAGGCGTTACGGGGGGGGTATATCGATTTTGAATAACAGATGGGTTTTATCAATCTAAAGGGGAAGACGTACTAGGGGACAAGGTCTTCCTGTATGAACAAATGAACTGAGAAATCACTACAAAAATCCTACCACTAAATCACCTTTCTTTCTGTGAAGACATACCTTACGCGCTATGACTCAAGAGCAAGGAAGAATTTACCCATTTTGAAATGAGACATGTAGGGAGCGGGGCACTCATTGAGCATGAAGTGGAGAAGAAAGTCTTCCTCTAATCTTTCTGCCCCGCTTGAAAATAGCTTCATGTATAGAAACACCTGGCAGATATCAACCAATAGGTGAGATGGCCGAGTTGGTCTAAGGCGCCAGGTTAAGGTGATAAACTCTTAACAAACGGTTGTTTACAATCTCCTGGTCTAGTAATAGGCGTGGGTTCGAATCCCACTCTCATCAATATACCTTTTGGATTTTTTGGACATTTTTGAGCAGCTTCTACAATGAAGCTTGGCTTACTAGGCATTATGTTCAAGAAGAAAGAAATTCAAGATAATTCCTTTTTGCTCAGAATTTGATATGGGAGAAGAAGTCCATGGAGCTTTAGCTAAACCGAAATTTTCATGCATGTCAAAAAAAGTTTTACAAAGCACCCACCTCGGAGCTTTTCCTTATCCAATCAAATCCACTTAGGCTTTGATAATACCCCACCACACCCACATCTCTTTTCACGGAAGTGCAAAAGGGAAGCAAGGGGAATGAAGATGTGAAGATGACATCGGGTGGGCTTGTTCCATCTGGGGGCACGGGCCAGCGTGTCAGCCATTGTGTTCAAAGATTTCTCTCCCAAAAGCTGCCAACCACTCCGGGCTACCTCTTGTAGCAACGAAATGGTGATTCACAACACCATAGCGGAGCAGAGCAAAAATAAATCCAAAAGAAAAATACTCCCTCGCGTGGGGTCGAACCACGAACCTCTCGATTTAACTATTTGAATTGCTTCAAGTAACAGTCGAACGCGCTAGCCAATTGCGCCACGAGGGATGTTTGTCTTGTTATATCCAATTTTGGCAGTCTCAGTATATATTGTGACTTAGAACTCAGCCTTCTATTATATCTTTCATAGAAATTCACAATAAATTTCTATCGCCTGATGTGCGTTCACTACAAGAGGGTGCATGTAGTATGCCATGAATTTTCTACGCTTCCCATTGTTCTACTCACAACAACTGAGGGCCATTAATCTTATAAAATCACCCCTCTATTTTCCTAGCCTTGAACCCTAATCCAGGTACTCTACTCCTCAGCGCTAAACTGCTCAAAACCACACTAATACTACTCATTGCCATTGCCAAACTTGCCCAAACTGGATCCAACCTAACATGGTTTCCTCCCCGCGTAACAATTGGATAGAATATCCCTGCTGCTACCGGCAGCGCTACCAAATTATAAGCCAGAGCCCAACCAAAGTTGAATTTGATTCTTCGAAAGACCATTTTGCTCAAGTCCAACAGCGTAATTAGGGAATGGAGATTGCTAGAAACTAGTACGAATTCAGCCGAGGAGATAGCGATATCAGAACCGGAACCTATAGCGATTCCTATGTCGGCAGTGGTTAGCGCAGGAGAATCGTTGATGCCGTCGCCGACCATTGCTACGAGAGCTCTTTTGGGAGATGAATTCTTCTTAAAGCGTTTGGAAGGGAGGGACTTTTGGAGATAGGAGATCTGGTTTGCTTTTTCTGAGGGTAGAACTCCGGCTATAATATTTTCAGGGGCGATTCCAACTTGTTGGCCAATAGCATTTGCCGTAGTTTGATTATCGCCCGAAAGCATCCAGACAGCCGTGCCACGTGTTTTTAGGGCTGAAATAACAGAAATAGCCTCTGGACGGATAGGATCAGAGATTGCAAATATGGCCGTAAGTTTATAGAGTCCATTTAGCGTAGAACAATAAGCTACTAGTGCTACCGATTTGCCTTGTTGTTTCCATTCATCGAAGCGAGATTGTTGAATAGGGGCAATTTTGACGCCATATTGCGTCATAAGCGCTTCGTTCCCAATTAGCAGCCTTCCGCTACTAAAAGTAGCTCTCATGCCGTATCCGGGTATTTCTTCGATATCGGTAGAGGCCTTGAAGGAAGGTTTTGAATTGTTGACACAGAATGAGACAATGGCTTTGGCCACGGTGTGGCTGCTATTTTCTTCGGCGGCCTTGATCAAATTTAAAAGATCTTGTTCTTTCTCAATCGTTGGGACAATCAGATTACCTGAGATAAGGTCATTGGTTGGGATGTTCTCATCGCCTTGAAAAAAGTGCATGCTTGAACTACCCTGGCCGCTTGAAACAATCAGATCGTTTTCGTTGTCTGAGACAAATTCGAAGTTTGTAACAGTTGGTTCGCCTCCTAGAGTCAAGGTACCTGTTTTATCAAAAACCACACAATCAAGCATACTAGCTTTCTCAAAAGCCTCACCGCCGCCCTTTACTAGAATGCCATGATGCGCTGCAAGACCACCACCAACGAATAGTGCAGTAGGAGCGGCTAATGCTAGACCACAAGGGCATGCAACGACAAAGACAGCAATAGCAAATTGAAGAGACCAAACGGCCCAGCCACTAGAACCACGATAATCGTCTGGTAAGACTCCTGAAAGTCCGAGAGATAGCCAAGCAATGAAAGTGAGGATGGCAATGAGGGTAATGACAGGTACAAAATACCCGGTTAGAGTATCTGCAATTCGTTCCATGGGTGCTCTTTTAGTTTGTCCTTCACGAACTGCCATGACAATTTGATCGAGCATTGAAGATCCGGCAACTCCAGTAATCTTGACTGTTACTGGGGATTCCTTGTTGACTGTTCCAGAAAACACTTCATCTCCCACACTTTTCTTGACCAACTTTGCCTCTCCGGTCAAACTCGATTCATCGAATTTAGTCTCTCCCTTGATGACTTTGCCGTCACATGCTGGGGAACCACCATGTAAAACCTTGATAGTATCACCAAACTCAAGCAAATCAACGTTGACGCTTCTGATAGAGCTTTGTTCGCCTGAGGAGGTTCCTGCATGTTCGTCAGAGTATGGAACAATGAAATCCCCGTCCTGTTCGTATGTCGAAGCTGAGACAATCAAAAGTGCTTCTGTGGGTCGCAGCTTCCCTAACATAGTCACAGCGTCGTCAGTTCTTGACTTGCTGTAAGCTTCAATAAGACGGCCAACAAGTAAAAACAAAGTCAAGAAGACGACTGAATCGAAATAGAAAGAGCTATCATCCACCATGGCAGTCGGATGAATTGCAGCGGCGATTAATTGAGCCACAGATGATACATAAGCAATTGTAGTACCTAGTGACATAAGCATATTCATGCTCCCAAAACGATAGAATCTTTGAAGAATTGGTGTCGTGCTGCCGGGTCTCCATAACGAGCGTATTTCCTTCAAAGCTCTTCTATGAAAGACATCAGCACAAAGAAAGTATACCGGCGTAGCCATGACGAGAAGAGACCATTGCGCACGATCGACGCCGGCTTTAAGAGGTTGCATAAAATACTGTCGGATTGTATTGAATGGCGATACCAAACTCATGAAAATGATACCGATGAGGAGGGTGGGTATGGCGATGATGAAAGTGACGATAACTCGAAGTAATATTCTTTGTTGCTCCCTTTTGTGGATTATTTGAGACCGCTCTTCGATAGTCGGTGGATGATAGATTGTCGGAACAAATCCTTCTTCGACATTGGAAATTTTGGAAAGAATCTGCCTAATTGTGAAAGTAGGTGCCGATGGGGTGTAAGTTATTTTGAGTATTGGGCTCTCTAAACTCAAGGCTTTCTCTATGGTAATGCGATCGCCAAAACTGATCAGACTGTTGTTGATTCGAGGAGGGCAGTGACCACAATACATGCCATTTACCATAATCTCAACCGTTCTCGTCACTTTCTGTTTTTGAGGCTCAGGTTTCAAATTGATAACACTATCCAAGGCTGCATCATAGCCAAGATCCTCTATCTCTTCAACTATTTGACATGTGTAATTCTCATCGGCGTAGTCAACTGTAGCGCTATTCGAGATGAGATTAACAACGACATCCCTCACCCAGGACTTCTTCTTTAGTCCTAGCACGATATTATTGGCGCAAGCGGCACATGTCATACCACCAATAGCCAACGATGCTCGAAATGTCTGAGGAACTGAATCGATGGAATCAACAACTACCAAAGGTTCCATTCTTTTGCCGGAACTGTCTGTGGTACCATCGTTCCTACCATCACTCGTATCGTTGTTATATGCCGGCTCTGAAAGTATACTTGATTGTGCCAAATGTTTTGAAACATTTTGTTGATTCGCTCCCGTGGCGTCCTGGCGACAAATTTCACAATTCTCTAAGTGCCGGTCATAGTTCGAATCAAAGTATGACGATGAAAATTGTCTTTGGGGTCTTCTGGTAGCTGACCACTTTTGAAGCACTTGGTCTAGGTAACCTGTATCTGTGTCATGTTGTATGTGGGATCTTGCAAGACTACCGTACTCCTCAGACGTAACATCGCACACTTCGAATCCAGCAGACTGCAACGCCTTCCGAATAACTTTAGTTGATAGACTTTTATCGTGTTGGACAGTCACCCATGAAGACATGAGAGATGGGATAACATCTTTTGGTCGAGGACTTAAGGCGTAAAGGGACTTTTGAATGTTTGAAACACATGAGGGACAATGAAGATTTGATAATAGATAGGATGTTGTGATCAATACTGAATTTTGAGTTGAAATATTCTCCATCTTCTCACCAGAATTTATACTGTTATTCGTTGTTGTTGTCGGACAGGTCGTGGATGTCATGTCATCTTTTAAAGTCATACTTGCTTTTAGCCTTATAAGTATTGTGGAAAGCGACTTCCACTGAAAGTCAAAATCGTAGAAACTTTATTCCAAATTCGAAGGAACTAGATATTCAACGGTATTGTATAGTAAACCTGTATGACTGTTGTCAAGGTGGCGAGCCTCCGCACAAAAAGCGCAAACCGCAAAAAACTCTCAAAACAGCACAAAGCGCGCAAAGGGATAGATGTGAATGGGTCATTTTCATTAAGGAATGGCTCTCCTTATTGGACTAGGCATGTTTCCAATATGATTAGGAATGAGATTTTAAGCTGTGTATGTATATTAGTAAGTTTGAGCATAACACATAGCAACGTCAATGAATGGCCAGCCAGTTTTTTCATTGTCTAGTAAATACATCGTTCTGGGAGAGACTCGATTTACAGAAAATATCTTTTGGATGACTAATTGTTTTCCCGTAAAGCCGATGAGATAGGTACGCATTAGCTTACCTAGTCGTTCACGTGTCGTTCCAACATTTGGCATCTGTCGGCATTATCATGTGATCATATGGCACAGCACCTGAGCACTAGGCTAGGTATATGGCCTCAGGCAGTCATTATGTATAGTGAGTACCCAGGTAGTTAACTTCGAAGATATAGCAAATGGAAAGAGGTCAGACATGAATCACACTACGATTGCTTACCACAAGCAATGAGACTGATTAGCTATACTAATCATCCTCTCACCTTAGTGATACCAACAGTATCTTTTCTCTTCCAGCAGAACTTTGAGATCTTCAATCCAGGCTTCGTAGCTGCTAGCGCCTGCCAGTTACGTTTTGATTTTACATGATCTTCCCAGGTAATCATGTCCGGTATTCTTGATAGTGAGCCGTATATTATTGCTCTGCGCAAACCGAACACCCGCAATGACATCTTCGGCAGTACTGATATCAAGGGCATATGATGCAAGGTTTCCTAAAGCACAAGAGCGCTGAGGCCCGAAGAAGGCCTGCAGGATTTGTTCATCCAATAAGGAGACATGATAATAACCCGATCGACTTTGCATGATGAGTATCAGTGTACTTATCAAATACATTTCGAGCATTGTTCCACTTACTACGGTGATATTGATGTTCAATCGTCTTGGAATTTCGAGCATTCCAAGATGTTCAATTGGGAATCTTAACAATGTTCGCCTAGAGAAACGCCGCGGAGAAGTCTGCCTCTAATGGTATGGTTCAAGTTATACCAAACTCTTAGACCAGGCCATGCAGCTTCACTTGGAAGGTATCGGCATACTGGCTTATGGCAAGTAATCATCGGCGTACTTAGAGGTGTATTTTCAAGAAGTAGCGTTAGGAAACACCGCGATTATTCTCGTTAAGCGTGACATCTTGTGGTAAAAACGGATATCAGATTACAGCCATTGCGGAAAGGTGTTTGCTTTAGGCATATCTATTCTCCCTGGTTCTTGTTCCCTTACCCTACCTAGTGCACTTCGGATATCAATCACTCTTACTTGAATGGAAGCCGCTTTTGCAGACACATGCACAAGGTAAGATAATCACGAGAAGCACTACTTAGCCGCGATGAATTGCACGCATATTTTGCTTGAATCGTGGCAAAGACGGCGGGAGAGACACACAATACAAGAAGTTTGTTGCAGCTGGATTACCTACAAGCCAACTTGACAAACGTGCTACTTTCATCAAAGTCAATGTCGAGTCACCATTCCTAGGCTTAGATAGTACTTTATACGACTCGCTCCGTTCAGACGTCAATCTTATTGTCCATGCAGCATGGCCCTTCAATTTTAACCTGCCACTATCTGCGTTTCGTCCACAGCTTGCCGCGTTGGTAAACTTGTTCACTCTAGCTGCTTCTGCTACTTCTCCCACAGTACGGTTCATTTTCATATCATCAATAGCTGCTGTGGAGGGATATAGACACGGTCCAGCTCCCGAGAAACCCTTCGAAAGCCCCGACACCTGCACCGTTTGGCTACGGCCGCGCCAAATTCCTTGCAGAGCTGCTTGTCGACGCTGGTGGTCGGCATCTCGGAAGCAAAGTACCTACGAATGTGATCCGCGTGGTTCAGATCGCCGGTTCTGTGCACAGCCCTAGTATTTGGAATTCACGGGAGTGGCTACTAAGTTTAGTGCTCAGTTCCCTGCACTTGGGACAGATCTCCCATAGCCTTGATCCAAGATTTGACAATGTCGATTTTGTATCTGTGGACTTGTTGAGAGAGATACTAGTCGACCTAGCTACGGCTGCAACGGTGTTCAATCTGCGGATCCGCAGCTGGTATCTTGGAGCACGTTGTTGTCTGCTATTGTGGCAATTCAGCCGCTTCATACAGTGTCGCCTGTAACATGGCTGGCTAGTTTGCGAGCGAGCAGCGAGGCAGGTTATGAGGATGTGACGGGGAACCCGGCTGTCAAATTACTTTATTCCTTTGAAGGCTTGTGGGCGACACACGCGGATACTGAGAAAGTGCCAATGCAGCCTATGGTGGTGGAGAAGGCCCTCGAAGCAAGCCCTGCCATGCGAAAGCTAGATGTTTTTAAGGTGAAATGGATGCATAAATGGATTGAAGGATGGGTGGCTGCGAGGGAGTGATTATACTGTGTCCATGCCGGAGCTCGTGGATACGGAATGGCGAGCTCTTCTTCCCTTTCATGTGATTCATATAGTTTAGGGCGGGATTCCTTCAATACAAATAACCAGTCACCCAGAATAATTATATGGATATTTACATTTTAAAAACAAAACTGCTGTAGAGATAGGATTGAGGACAACTACAATAAGTATAATCACTGTTTCAATTAATCCACAAGATTGAGGTACTCAAATCCGGTCTGTCGTAGAGATCCCTCTAACAATAAATCCAAGAGGTAGGTGCACAAGCCACAATCACCAGCCACTCCGATCGAGTTCTTTCGGCCGAAAAATCATTTTTATAGGAACTGGTGGAACTACTTCCAAGTCAAACCTCAAAATTTTTCAATGTTCTCTGTGCTAGAATCAAATGAGGCTCTTATTACCGATTCGGGTTTTACATATGTGGCGCTTTTACATGACTCTCAGGTTTGCTCAAAGATTTCATGCATGAAAATGCTTGTAATGCGTTCAATTTTGAGAGTTTGTGATGTAGTATTTGCTCATAGATGCTAATACATATTAACCTACCTCCTATCAGAGTAAGCGGTCTCGCTTGTACCTGACAATGCCGTTCTATGCCCGTTACCAAGTGGGGGAGGAGTCGACGACAGGCTCAAGATACCACGATGGTTTTGGTTTTAATGGCTATTATGCCCGTAGACTCCTTTGAGAAATGCTATATCATCTTCGTTCGTCCACTTTACAGTAGATAAACAAACAAGATTTCACAGAAAAGATTTATACTTCTTTATTTCATTCCATACTTCTGATATAGAATCAAGATGCCTACTCCAACAAGTGCAATTAAGGTTGTCTTTGGTTCAATGACCATCGGTAGACCAGGTATATATTTTCGCCTTTGAACCCCTTCAACTCAAACTTATCATTCTCTTCTTAGGTGATGGAATCCGTGTCACAACCGTTGAAGGTGCCCAAAAAATCTTGGATGTATTCCAAGCACATGGCCATTCAGAAGTCGACTCTGCTCGTGCCTATGGTGGCGGTTCCACCGAAGAAAGACTCGCAGAGATAGATTGGCAATCACTTGGTCTCATCATGCAAACCAAGCTCTATCCAACCAAGGGAGCAATGGCATGGCTCACAAAAGACACATATTCTCATTCTGCTGCCGACGTCCGTCGTGGTTTCGAGGACAGTATGAAAGCGCTGAACACGGATCGTATAGAGATGTTCTACCTCCACGGTCCCGACCGCAGTACCCCCTTCGAAGAAACCCTTAGCGAAGTTAATAAACTCCACCAAGAAGGAAGATGGGAGTGTTTTGGAATTTCCAACTATACTTCCTGGGAAGTAGCTCGAATTTGCGACATTGCCGAGAAAAACGGCTGGGTGAAACCATCCGTCTACCAGGGTCTTTACAACGCCTTCAACCGTTCCGTAGAAGCAGAACTCATTCCCTGTCTCCGCTTTTACAACATGTCTCTCTACGCATTCCAACCACTAGCCGGCGGTTTCCTCACGTCCAAATACCATCGCGATCAAACTGAATACGAAGCCGGTTCCCGCTTCGATCCTTCCATGCCACAAGGACAATTGCATCACGGTCGCTATGTTAATGATCGGAATCTTTACGCATTAGAAGATATTCTTCGACCTGTTATCAAGAATCATGAACTTACCGAGGCGGAATGTGGGTTGAGGTGGATGGCGCATCACTCTTCCCTGAAAAATGAATTGAACGATGCGGTGATTGTAGGGGCTAGTAGTCCCGAGCAGTTGGAGCAAAATTTGAAGGATTTGGAGAAGGGAGAATTACCGGTTGAGGTAGTAGAGGCGTTAGAGAAGTGCTGGAAACACATCTCCGGAGTCTATAAGTATTTCCATTAGAGGATGATGGGATCGGCAAGTACTTGAAGACATTCCACTCGAACGCCGATGTATAGAATTGTAGAGACTGAACAAACAACCAAGAAAATTTAATGTCTGAATAAACTTGAGATAATACTTAATATTTAGAATTTCTTAGCTGGATGTGAATAATTTGCAGGTTTTTCTTTTCAGATAGATATTTGTTTGATTTTCAATACATAGATTTGACTAACATCACTTTATTAATATACAATCGAAGTATTATATTGTCATGATACCCACACAAGTTAAATTTATAAAAACTGAATCTTGGGAATATAATATTTGATCTTCGAGGATTTAATCAGGATTCCTCTGGAACATCAAACAATGCCAAAGGTATTGACCGCATTGCATCGAAATCTCAGTGGAGATATTTAGTTTTCGATTTCTCGGCCAGTATTCATCATCAACAGATTATAAAAACCGACAGACATACGCGATTCGACCTGTATCAATTGGTCTAGACTTCATCATCAATAAACTTAATCGAAAAAGAAGATAACCCCCATTATCCAAAATTGTAGATAACATTCGTCTACCAATGCAGTGTAACATTTGGGGTAGACGGGATCCACCAAGTTTCCCGAACACCCATACGGAAAACTTGACATAGTGCCGAGCTTAGTTTTCCGTGCCCCGCATCAAGTTTTCCGAGATATCGAGCATCCAGCTTGTAAAGACCGCGAAAGAAATAGATTGTCGATGGAACCAGACCACTGTGAGACTTGCTTGCAGCTATTATCGTTGCTAACGTAAGTTCTGGGCGATACGAATGGTTCATGTGAAAACCTTCTGATAAGTGATGCGAGATGAATAGAAAAAAATATGATGATTACTTTACTATATAAGAGACGCCGTTTTCCCTGTGAAAGGTATACATTTCTAGTTATTCTCACAATTCATCCAAATTGAACACTCAAACTTCATCTTCTATACTTACAAGTTACGAAACACTGCGATAAACATGTCGCAATCTCAAGCCTCTGCAACGCTGGTACCTACCTCGGAGAGTCTACCTCTCTACCAGAACATTGATGGGAAAACCATGAGAGAAAACGCAAACTCATCTCTCATAAGATTTGGAGGAAACTTTTCATCTGAAATTATTGTAGGAGCAGAAGGTGTTTACATCTACACTGCCGATGGTAGAAAGATACTAGATTTTACTTCCGGACAAATGAGTTGTCTTATTGGTCATGGACATCCTGAAATTGTTGAGGCAATCACTTCACATGCTGCAAAACTGGATCATTTATTCAGTGGCATGCTAAGCCCGCCTGTGGTAGAACTCGCACAAAAGTTGACGTCTTTGACACCACCCGGACTTGATCGTGCTATGTTTCTCAATACTGGAGCTGAGTCGAATGAAGCTGCTATCAAAATGGCTAAACTATACACTGGAAAGTATGAGATAGTTGGTTTGGGAGCAAGTTGGCATGGAATGACGGGAAGTGCATCTGCATCAACCTACCACTCTGGGAGAACCGGCTATGGCCCTTGCGTATGTTCACTGCTATATAAATCTGTATAGAATGGCAATACTAACTATAAAAAGATGCCAGGCAACCACGTTCTACCATCTCCAAACGCATATCGTTCGATCTTTCGCCATGCAGATGGCTCATATGACTGGGAAACAGAGTTGAATTATGGGTGGAATTTGATCGATCAACAATCGACGGGGTCATTAGCCGCAGTCATTCTCGAGCCTATCCTCAGTTCCGGAGGTATGCATGTCTTGCCAAAAGGATATATGAAAGCGATGAAGAAACACTGCGAAAAACGCGGCATGCTTCTCATTGTCGACGAGGCACAAACGGGAATTGGTAGATGCGGTTCTATGTTCGCAATTGAGCATGATGAATGCACCCCCGATATTTTGACACTCAGCAAGACGTTGGGCAATGGACTTCCACTTGCAGCTGTTGTCACTTCGGCGGAAATTGAAGAAACTTGCTTCGATCGCGGGTACCTTTTCTACACAACTCATGTAAATGACCCGTTACCTGCTGCTGTGGGTGCCAAGGTTCTGGATATTGTAGTCCGAGATAATCTTGTCGAACGCTCTCGATTAGCAGGCTTGAAGTTGAACGTTGAGTTGAAAAGATTACAGGGAAAGTATGGTTGTATTGGGGACGTTCGCGGTAGAGGTTTAATGGCAGGAGTTGAAATTGTAAAGGATCGAGCTACTAAAGAGCCAGCACCGGAGCTGGGAGCAGAATTGACGGAAAAACTAAGTGAACTCGGCTTATCTGCAAATCTATCGACAATGAAGTCGTTTGGTGGGGTGTTTCGTATTGCTCCTCCTATCACTATTACTGATGAAGAATTGATGGCCGGACTCAGAATATTTGAGGAGGCGTTGAGAACTACTCCTGGTACAATGCCGATTGAGTAGGTATGAGGAACCGAAAGTACCTGTTCAAACTGTAAATCTTGATAGCCAATTCAAGCAAGCCTAATTACTCCAACTTTTTTGAAACGTGTTGAATGCGCGAACGGTATGAAAATGCCTGTCAGTGTAAGTGAAGTGCACGGTCCAAGTCAATTCACATCCGATATTGTACCGATTCTCGAATGTCACTTCGGCAAACTGAACCACCTTCCCGTTTTGGTTATCTTGCTAGACACAAAATACTTCGGACAACTGGTAAAACAAACAAGTTTGCGTGCTTAACCGTGTTCTTACGAGAGGTTTACAGCAATCAGATTCATTGAACCAATGGATCCTCCCTCCACGTCAAATGAATGCCGACCATATCGGTCTCACAAAATTCCAGCCTGCGATCGATGTCGAAAGCGTAAGTTAAGATGTGAAGCCGACTTATCAAATGGTTCATGTCGTATTTGTCGGGAGCAAGATGTCGATTGTGTTAGGTCAGAGGCCTCCAAGACGAGGAAACAAACCTCTCCAAACACAAATAACATTGAAGTACCTTCAGTGCGTTCATTGAAACGTCCCAGAATAATTGATTCAAGCCCTTCTGCTTCTCTGAGACATGAAAACAGATTCCCAGAAGATAGTACCGCTGAGCAATCTGGTCTTCAAAGTCCCGACTATAGTCGACAGGAAAGATCCAATGTTAATGACAAGTCTTCGATGATCATCGGCCCCATCATTGCAGAGGATGTCCAATTACTAGAACAATACATGGAATCTCAAGCTCGTCCCGAAAGATCTAAAAGGGGACGCTTATATGACACTGTATCGGACAATCCAAAAGATCCCGTGATTTATCTCAGCGTTCCTCGACGAAGAGAAGGGCTCTCTTCAAGTGAGCGAGCAGGTGAAAAACAAAAGGAAATCTTGGAACAAATCCTAGGGCCAAATGTCAGAGAAGTTGTTAATCTGTATGATCCATGCCAATATCTCATTGTGTATGCTGAATATCTCTCAGTTACTTTCGCCATATTCATCCTAGCTTTCCTATCATTGACGAACACAATTTCAACCAATTATACTCCAAGGGCGATAAAAGTTTATCACCTGCACTTATGTGTGATATATTAGCTTCATCTTTGGTATACTGGAGGCATTGCCCAAACCTCAAACGCTTTCCGGTTCCAGACCAGCGATATTGCTGGAATCTGGCCGTAGAATCACTTCAAGGATGTTTTCTCGCACCAGGCCTCTCGACCCTTTATGCAGCGCTTCTTGATTTGACTGGGCGACCTATTATCTCGATTACAGGCAATACGCTTACTAGTGGAAGATCCGTTGCTCTCGCTCATAGCCTAGGGTTAAATCGCGATCCTAGCAGATGGAGAATATCTGATCATGAAAAAAGTCTACGAACTCGTCTTTGGTGGGGTGTTTTAATCCACGATCGTTGGTGAGCATCATATCTCCCAATATAAGTGATTACAACCTCTTACTAGAACAATCTCCTAGGTCGAGCTTCGCCCATGGTGTACCTGCGCATATTCGAAGAAATGAATATGATGTCCCGCTCCCTACACTCAAGGGACTTCTCACAGACGGCAATCACGAAATCTTACGCATCCGCCCAGCAGAATGCTTTATTCTCCTCTGTGAGCTGACCGAAATTCTTGGCGACATCCTTCCACTGTTATATGACCGTCGATGCAGACCAATCACCGAGACCAACAAACTCTTGCGGCAACTCGAGATCAATCTTGATGAATGGGAAGAGTCTCTTCCACAATGGGGGACAAATAAATCCAACGCCGAACAAGTATCGGGTCTCAGCAGCCTAAAGCTCGGATTTCTCTCGGTCAAAATGCTACTTTGCCGTATAGCCTTTCATGTAAGTTCACTATCCACACTTGTATAAAGCTAAATACCAATTACCACACAGAGTGCCACACATTCTCCCGAGCCATGTATAAAAGAAGTCAAAGCATACCACCAAGCAATGCTCCGCGAATGCGCAAAAGCAATAACAACCTTCCTCACTTCACTAACGGAATAGAATCTCAACGAATTTTGGATGCCATGTATGTCCTACTCTCCATCTCAGTGTGCTATGAATAACTAAACCCATCAAAGATAGCGCATATCACATCTGTTCTGCAACTATCATCCTCCTTCGCTGCGCCATTGATACCACTGATACCGAAACCGCCGAGTCGTGCAAATCTAGTCTATCCGAGGTAAAGCAATGGTTAGATTGGGCACATACTTCTCATCACTGGGATCTCGCCGAAATATGTCTCGCGCAATGTGCAGAACCGATTGAAAGATTAAACGTGTCATCGCGTTCAACGGCAACGAACGTTCGAGAAAATAGGACTGAACAGCCGGGTATGGAAGTGGTAGGTGAAAGTGTAGGGGATCCAACAAATGTACCCTTTCTCGCGGATACAGAGAGCTTGATGAATGGACTTGAGTATCCGTTTGTTGATCTGTGGGATATGTTTGAGCAGGAATATGAATAAGGACTTGGCCACATGCCCCTAGATAGGATCGATCTGCATGTTACTCACTACATTAATAGATACATTGATATGTTCCATTGGTTTTCATTAGGTTCACTCATTTCAGTCAGCAAATTCAAGGCACAGAAAGAATATGTAATATAGGTTTGTATTAAGTCGCTGCCAAGGCTGCATACATACTGGTTAAAGCTGCAATATTGCACCTCCAGAAAACTAAAATACCAACCGATGTTTCTATCAAGATTATTCGTATCGCGTAAAGCAATAACTTCCAGGTAGAATGGGTATGAGTCGTAAAGTTACTTTTGAAAATCTCCCAACTCCGTGAACTCCAACCAATGCTCCCCCAACCATATGCAACCATTTCAAAATCATCCAACGGAAGAAATTGTAAAGTCATCAAATTTTAAATTTAAAGACTCAACTCAACTGCCTTGCTGGACTTGATCTGGCTCGACCATTCTGCAAGAGCAGCTTCAACCTCTCCACCAGGTCCACAGTACTTCTCAACCGAGTGTGCACTACGGCCAATGAAGTTCTTTGGGTCCATCATGTTGTCAAGATCAGCCCAGACTGGTTCAAAGTACTTGGTGGCCTTGATACGGTCGATCAAGTCGTTCTTACCACCTTGCTTCTTGACAACGTCAGAAGCTTGGTGAGAAAGGACACGGATCTCTTCGTGAGCCTCTTGTCTTGACCCTCCATTGGCAACAATTCTCATGATGATGACTTCTGTAGCCATGAAAGGCAATTCCTCCATGACACGAGAGTGGATACGGTTTGGGTAAACAACGAAGCCAGAGACAACGTTGTCCATAGCCATGCAGACAGCGTCAGCTGAGAGGAACATCTCGGGGATGGTAATACGACGGATGGCAGAGTCATCGAGAGTTCTCTCAAACCATTGAGCAGCGTAGGTATCGTTGGCGTTCTTGTTGAGGTTGGCAAGATGACGACCGAGAGCTGCAATACGCTCGGATCTCATTGGGTTGCGCTTGTAAGCCATGGCAGATGAACCAATTTGATCCTTCTCAAATGGCTCTTCCAACTCCTTCAAGTTGGCAAGATGACGAATGTCACTTGAGATTCTCTGAGCAGTAGCACCAAAGCTAGAAAGCGCATTGGCAATTCTGAGATCAACCTTACGGGAATAGGTTTGGGTGCTGATAGCGTAACAGCTTGGGAAGCCAGCCTTCTCGCAAAGGATTTCATTGAGTTGGTCGATCTTGGCACCATCGCCCTTGAAGATCTCCATGAAACTGGCTTGTGTACCAGTTGTACCTTGGGCACCACGGTAACCTATATCCAGAAAGAGTCAGCAAATGCCCAGAGAGGTGAGAGCAAATCAAGCTCAAGTTTAAGAAGTATCAGAAAGACTTACGAAGATCAGCTCTAACTCTCTTGATATCCTCCAAATCCATGAGAAGATCTTGAACCCATTGAGATGCACGACGGCCAACAGTGATCAATTGAGCAGGTTGGAAATGAGTGTAGCCCAAGGTAGGTAAATCCTTGAACTCAAGAGCAAATTGAGACAACTTGTGAATGACAGTGGCCAATTTGGGAAGGATCAAATCGAGAGCATCACGCTGGAAGATGAGATCGGCATTGTCGGTGCAGTAGCAGGAAGTAGCACCGTAGTGAATGATACCAGCAGCCTTTGGAGCAACTTGGCCAAATGCGTGAACATGTGCCATACTAAGTAAAAGGAGTTAGTAAACGCATTTTTAAAATTGAAGAATTGGGGATTTAGAGAACTTACACATCATGACGGCGCTTCTTCTCCTCCTCGGCAGCAACCTCGAAGTCCTTGTCGGTCATAATTCTGTTTTCCTTCATTTGTTGAATACCCTCAGCGCTGATATCCAAACCCAACTCTTTCTCGGCTTCAGCAAGATCGATCCAAAGAGTTCTCCATGTTGAAGCACGGTTGCGAGCAGAGAAGATCTCCTTCATCTCCTTGCCTGTGAGAGTAAAATGGTTAGCATTGAGTCTTTGAATATGATTGAGCAAAGAAATTGATTGTCAAGTATGAAATTCAACCGGAAGAGAAGAGCACATTATGAGATGCAGTCAATGGACTTAAGAAGAATAAACTTAGATTTGAGATTTTATCAATCAACTGCGGAGGGGAGAGATCTGATACTTACTTGCATAACGCGAAGTCAAGGGAGTTTGATAGATATCGTTGGCAGACATCTTGAATAGATTATCCCAAAGATCTTGGTATATTCTGAGTGATTTGATGCTTCTGTCTTGTGAAAAGAAGTTTCCAGGAATTGGAGAGGTTGTTGTTTGGAGATAAGAACTGAAAGACTGAAATACGCGGGGCAGACAAAATTAATAAATTTGTGGAGGGGAAAAAATGATGCTGGAGTCACCAGCGGCCGCTTTGTCCCGTTCCGAGACACCAAACTAGTTTTTAGGGCAATTTTTCAACCAGGGTGTTAGATTAAATTTGGTGCACGGCTGAAAAATGTTATTGAAAGAAATTCTTTGTCTAGTGAATGAATGCCCGAAGATCTTCCATTGACCTACTAGTTTCTGTAAACAAAAAAAGAGTGATAATATATAAGACTACCTCAAGACTACCTGGTAGTCATACAGAAAAAGAGGCAATATTAGTTAAGTGAATAATGATATTATATGGTCATTCTGAACCTCAACAAAAAGCCAATCAATACCTGTCAAGGTGCCTCGAGAGTTCCTGACGAGTCGTAACCAGAATCCATTTTTGTGAAAAAGGTCTCCAGCTCGTAATCAGAATCCATTTTCTGACCGGCTATTGTTTATCCTGACATAGTTCAAAAATACATGGAATCAAACTCTACATCAACACCCATGGACAACCTTGGAAACAAGCAGTTTCAAACTTGAGTATATTGGCTCTATATTCACTCTAACCCCGCTGGTTGAAAGCAGATCAAGCCTTCAGGTATTGAGTATTGACCCAAAAGAATACTTCACAGCACTGGTGATATCCATAGTCCTTCCGTCCGACTACGGAGGGTCTCAACCTCTCTTCCTCATTATTGTTAAAAAGTTTCTCTCCCCTATTTGTGCCGATGTAGAGCGAACTATTGAGCGAATACCATAAATAAATGTGAATATGATTGGTCAATGGCTTGGTTGATGTCGTGATTTTCTTGATCTGCAACTGGTGGAAAATCTCCACAATATTGATGTTAAGCTATTTCTCCATTTCACATGACTTTAGAAAATATCTGATCATAATTCTTCGCCTCGTTGACTTTGAAGAGTAACCAGAAGTGAATTGTTCACAATGACCATCAAGAAACTTTTCCTTCCTTCTGTTGAAGTCTTTATTTGTATGTCAGTGGACAATAGGGCCCTTCTTGAGCAGATCAGCACCCTTGTCTGGTGGGATTCGCATGCTTGCATGCTTTCAAGGAGCCTGCATAGTGCCAGGTGAATGATATCTATGTGTTGAGTGACACTACTCATGTATCTATAGTCCAAATTCACTTCTAGGCCTATAAAAAGTCACAAGGGACAAAGCAGAAGTCAAAAGGATGAATTGCTTCAAAAGTACAACTTGCACAATGAACACAAAAGAATTGCATGATTGAATTGCCCTTCACACCGAACAACCATTAAGAAGTCTTGTGAGAAACTTGTGTGTGAAAACTGGTTATCCAGACCTCTAGAAAAGAAGTAGCAACTGTTATGAAGCATGGAAAGAACCAGTCAGTTCCCAACATATAATTTGGATATCAACTGTGAAATGCCATTTTGATGCAAACATAAGTATCTTCGATGTCAAAATAATAGTCAAAACATGATACCCAATAAATCGCTCGAACCAGAATGAATTATAAAGAAATGAGGCCTATTGTTTCCCACGGAATAATAAACCAAAGCCATGCCAGTGTGGAAGAGATGGCTCCTGCCCGGTGTATTACTCATTGTAATCATTTTCGAATTACAAAAATGTATTTGAAAGGAGTCCCTCAAACAGAGAAGAAAATTAGAGAAAGAACCAATCAGACGCCGAAGTTTCTTGAAGAAAGCCAGAGCCGCGATGGTAGTCCTTTCCAAGTGCGATTTTTCCAAAGTGTTCAGGAAGGCATAAAGCTCTCACTCCCCCAAAACGCTGAAGACACTGTATTCATTTCTCACATCAAGCCGCGAAATTTATGACTCTGACGATGAACAGGACCTCAGCCATGATACAAACCCACACAATCTTCCTATCTCATTTTGTTCTTTACCATCAACACACTTCGAATGTACGAGAAATCGAGTGCTCACCTTGATAGAATCGGACTGATCACTCGGTCCATCCAAAATTTATTTCGAGTAAAGGAACAAGTTTTCAGCTTCGAATGGTTGATTTTCTGCTTTCCTTGCGGTATTAAATGAAGTGATATATTCATGTCTCCAGGGCTGTCTATTATTTTCTAGAGGCGGCTCGGCAGGGAATCCAATATAGCCGATTCAATGATTCAAGGTAGGTCATACGATTTCATTTTATATATTGATTAAACTATTTTCAAGATACAGAAGGTGTCCATTATCAAGGCTCCCGGTGGCACCGATTCTCCAGACTCCATAGTAAATCCTTGCCATTAAATGACTTTTCTTAAATCCTAATTCTGCAGATCTATAAAATCCCTTTCGCTGTTATCCATTGTTGTCCGTATCTTTATTCGAGAGGTAAAAGAAACCATTTTTATCAGCCCTCTACCCCGTCAACCAGTTTTTATAGAACCCTCTCTACGATGTTAGACGCCGTCGAAAATTGTCGATAAGATGTTGAAACGTTGCCATACAAAGAAATATGCGATATGTCCAATTCCATCGCTTCATCGCAGTACACTGACACCAAGTTTCATGCCGAGTTTTAGGAAGGATCTTAGAAGACGTCGACTTATACAAATGGTAGTAGGTTAAGAACGGCCAAAGGAGTGAAGGCATCAGCGATTCTTTTTCTGGGCGATTGGACTCGCGGGACAGGTATTGGAACGCCTTTTTGAGGCTCAGGGAAGTGTTCTCTCCATATCTTGTCATCAAGCTTTCGCCCAAGTTCTTTCCAGGTGGTGATTGTGAGTTCCATGCGACAATGTAGATTTGGAATGCAGTCTCGTACGTGAGCGAAACGAATTGAAAATTCAGTTCGGCACTCGACACAATGTTCAATCTCACTTGTCTCTTCTTCAACTTTCTTCCAGTATAGTCCCCATGAGCTCTTGGGAATGTTGTCAGATATGTCAATAACTAGATCCCGTCTCGTTGGGCAAATTCGGGGACGGATATGCATTGAATTCGAATAGCATTGAAGATGGGCACATATATCGACGCGTAGCCGTATTACTTCGCCACATTTTCCTTGGAAAGCCCTATGTTGGCGGACTAATGTGGAACCGCGTTGGTTAACGAATGTAACTCGATCCTTCTGGAAACCACAAGATTCGCTATCTTCGCGGATAATATTCCAAAACACTTCTCTTTCGACAGTCCAGGGAAAACCAACTCGGTTGTAGGGCGCAAAGAAGCAGATATGGTAATGTAGATCCCGGGCTAGATATGCTGCAGCCATCTCATTCATGTGATATGATCTACTCAATCTTTTTCTGTGGTTAACAGAACATTTTGAAAGCTTCTGAAGAACCCTACCGACACCTTTTGCGGGGCTCGAACATTGTAGAGAACAGTAAATATTGCAGCAACCATTCAAGGTCATATTCTTAATATCATATGCCAATATTCTTCGAAATAACAAGTTCTCGTGGCGTGTTAGATTGGATATGTATTGAGATCCGATGATGACATAGATTGTTTTGCACGAAATCGAGAATAGTGCGGCCGATGCGACATCCAAGTTGTCAGCAACCTGTTGGATCAATTCGCTAGAGAAATTCTCAAACGCTGAGTTTGTTAATGCGTTTCGTTTGTGAGGAAAGTGTATTCTCAGCAACTGACGGATGCTGGAAGTTGTCTTGAAACGATCCATCTTGGTTGGAGCTGGGTGTTGTGGGAATCGATGAATTGTGAAAGAGACACATTTCAGGAAAGGTCTGGACACTTTGTGATGTAACTGTTCAGAAGAAGAGTGTCATTAATTAGTCTAGCGCATGTGATTCCCCAGACTTGTTTACACATTAGTGCGATGGAGATCTTTAAGTAGGTAAATAAGTACATCATGTAGGCTTCGCTTAGTCATTTTCGAGTAATCTTGAGCGCTTTCCCCCTCTATTGTGCGGGGGTAAAATTGATCATTGTACCTAGGTGGTTGAAGAATATAAGTCAGTAATAAGTCCTTTTGTTCTGCAAGTAATAGGCTTGAATTCTTCAACAAAATCTCGATGGTTTCTTACACAATTGCACATCAAAAAGATATTCAGTTCAGGTTACCGGATAATACTTAATTTTCGTTTAATTTAAAGCCACACAAAAACCGACTCAAAGCCGGTACAATTACGTATATACGATAAATTTGTAGTAGGAACCCTAATGCAGAACTGAAATGTTAAATGCTCTTATTGCTATCTAAAAGTTGAGGATAAATTACAACTTGGAGCAATATTCTTATGGTGATTGGTAGAATGTGTTGTCTTTGTGCAAGTCCACTCGCAAACCCCGCAGCTATTCTGAGGAATCATCTGCTCTGGGGATTTCATCTCAAGTCGCATATAGCTTTTTTGTTTGGAATCATTATGTCTCCACCGTCCTGATCATCTCGAGGAACGTGAGTTATCGCCGCTTCGTGATCCAGGACTTCAGCACAATTATCAAACTGCATCCTTCTGTTTGAAAATTAGGCGACAGTGTCGATTATTTTATCCTAGCCATGCAATTTGGCACAATCCAAAGTCAATATATCTATTAATTCACTCACATTGAAAGTTCATCCATGTTTTGATCATACGGCAGAGTGAACGTGCCGGCACCCCATTATATGTTATCAAGATGGCCGTATCCAACTCTTGAACTATATTTATTATTGTTCACACTGTGCCTTTTTAAAAGATCACTAAACACCGGTGATGAGGGTGTTGCTCCAGCTTCTTATGGTCGTAACATAAAAAAAAACTGCTATCGTCCTAGAAAGAGGTACAGTTGTTACCACTTTGTTGATACATCCCGTCTTCAGCCTATCAGACGTTAAATTCAACCTCTTCGGGGTTGTTCTTGAATTCACTGCCCAACCGGCAACCAATTTTCAAGAGTAACTGTGAGTATCTCCATTTTGGTCGAGTCTCAGCCAATAATACCTCTATATACCTAACACTGTGCCAAGTATCAGGTCCTCGAAGCTCTCCACCAAATGTGTGTCCTGTACTACACCATGTATAGCTGTTTCCCCGGCTGTAAGACGGGAACCAAACAACCATTGGAGCTAGAAAGTTGTGGACTCTTCCGCGAGATCGAAGATCTATCATTAGAAGTCAACAGATATAGCGAAGCAAGAGGTCGAAATGGTCAAAAGACTGAATCTAAGATACTGAGACTTAAGCAACGCTGCTCTGCATGTGTCACAAAAGCAGTAGCGGCAAAAGTGGCAGAGAGGAAGGCGAGAGAAGAAAAAGAAAGGGAGGCGGAGAGAAACGGGGAGAGAGGGGAAGTTTTAAGACAGTTGAGAATGGAGGAGGATGAAGAGGAAGAGGAAGAGACTCCTAGAGCCAGTCAACACCAGTTCACTGACGCTAACTTTCCTCTTCATACTTATACTCCTGGCAAGAAGTTGGTTTGGTTTCTTGAACCAGTTGAGCTAGTAGCAGACATGGAAGACGAATTGAGAGATGGAGCAAGTTTTCAAAAAATTGTGGAATCTATGGCTATAAAGGCACAACTCTCTCTTCAATATCAAGATCAAAATCCGCACCGATTTACCAACCCTGATGGTTCACTATTCCCCATGGCTGCCATCACAGCTACTATTGATAATCATCAAGACAAATTCCCAAGCCTCGAAGACAATTTCACGACCCCACTATCTCCCATGTCTACGCTGTTAAGCGACACAGCGTCTGGAGAAGGGTCTCCAAAATTGCTTGGCGACACTGAAGGAAATTTTGGCTTGGGCATTTATTTCTAAACGCTTGAAAGCGTGGAGATAAAAGCAATTGCGAACATTCAAGCTTTCCAAGGTAGTAGGGGTAAAATGGTTTAGCGTCCATCAAAGCGTTCCACAGTTTGGAACTAGCAGTCTTAAAGTAAGCTTAAAATATTAAGTCTTCCAATATCCGAAATGAATTTGAGATTTCAACCCAATAGAATATTCGAATCAAGATATTGGAAGCATCTGAATGTCAAACTGCAGCCCGGACCATTGAGATCGGTGGTACTATCATATTTGGGGAGACAATGGGGAAGTGTGGCAGAATATAAGTAGGCAGATATGAGAATTCGGGGTTGCACAGCAAAATTCCAAGAGATAGTTAAGCCACTAGTGTCGTTGTGATAGAATCAAAACTGTTGTTCGTAACATTGCTACTTCAATACTACCTGATCGGAAGTTTCCAAATGATCTCACTGGGGTGTGAAAACCCTTGTGATCCAATCCCCAGAATCAGTCTTGTGAAAGAGTTAGGAAAGCCTTTATGTATTAAGAGGTTTGTCAGAATAATTCCTTGGGGTGAGAATAGAAGAGAGGTATGTATATGAATACTCAATCAAAACTTGCCCACGAAAGATTGAGTTGAAAAGCCGACGCTTTGTCGAAATAAGATGATAATTGCCAAATTGAAATTTATCTTGAAGGTAATGGCGCAGCCCTGGAAATTGCCGAAGCTAGGTAGTTAGAAAAAAGACAAAAACCCTCATAGAAATGCTTAAAGCTTAACAAAAGCGTGAGTTTTCCCAAAACATCGTTTGCTGTCGATAGCAGTAGATGCCAATTAAGAGCCGAAAGAATGTCTAATAGGCGTAAGAAACAGAATTGAAAAGATCCACAGTTTCTGGAAAAAGACAAAGATGCAGGCGACTGATAGAAAAGGCACGGATTTCAAGAAACATTGAGTTGATGTGATTCGGCGAGACTTGTTCTCCTCATCCTCGGTAAGTGAAGGGGTCGGAAGGAAGAAAGCTGTGAACAGTAGAGTAGCGATGAATATGTGAAGTTGGATCCAATTAATGAGGGTGAAGTTGGTCTCGAGACGAATGACATGTGTGAATTTGAAGTTGTGATAATACATGAGCTTTTTTCATAGGTTTACTTTGCTTACCTACCTCGAGCCTACCACCTACCTAGTATCTATTCAGAAAGTCTTGAGCAGAGTAGCAGCACCAAAAGTTGACCCGATACGGGTAAATTACGGGGTAAAACGCCGCTTTTAGATGATACATTCGCATAGGCAATACTTTCGGCGCCGCTTTATTTTTTAAAATTATGATCGAAAAGATCCTCTGTTCACGTCCCACTGTTCCTTCCTGAATGCTTTCCAACGACATCATAAGGTTTGGCCCATATCAACAAGATACCCTGATAAGTATCTTCGCGGACTTCGCGGATGTCTGCATAGCCGAGAACATGACGTCTTTCATATATACGACAATTTTCTCTCGCTCTGTTTGCTTCCTCTCGCACGAAAGGCCATGTGGGCACCGTATCAATTCTCTATGAAAACTGCAGAGAATTCAAAAGGGATTGAGCTCTTAAGAAGAAAAACACAAATCAATCGATAAGTTGATAGGATAGCCGTCCCCGGACCCTCACGTCCCATATCCCACGGCACCACTATAAGCTTAATATCCTAAGCTCCGGTCGTCTGGCCTTCACTAAGACATACGAGTCGTTGATCCTCCGGGAGAGAAACATCCCGAACGCCTCTAGTTACATGCGTAGGTCAAGTTCCTTTGACGTTTATTTTCCTTACTTTTGGTAATGTACCTTTATTTCTACTTTACTTTCTCCTATTTTTCCATGCCTGCGTGATAGCATCACAAGGTTCTCTTTATTTCCGAGAGAAAAGGATTGTTTATAACACGAAGGAAACATTGTGAGACACGACGGGTAAAACTTGAGACGAACACGACGATCGAAATTTTACACGAACGAACAAATCCTTGTCTCGATATGGCTTGATTGTTTTGAAGATCGGATGAATAATTGAACAGTTTTGACACAAGATACACAAGTACCTAGAGACTTGGGACGAATTTTGTGCTTGCGGAAAGTCCGGAGAATCTTCGAAACAAACTGTCAAAGCCGCGACATTGAATCAGACGCAGGAAACTCATTGCGCATTATCTATCATCGTCACAACTAGAAATTCTGTACAGAATGCTCTGTACAAACAGACCCGAGGGCTTCGTACATCCCAATACATGTCCCCTCAGCTCCGCATCCACTGACAGTTTTTCCAGGGCCCAGCCTCCCACCTCAATTCCTCAACCCTCCCCACAACTTGTTTCACAGACGTTATCCTCATTCCCCTTCCAACATGGCTCGCTCTCGCCTTCCTACCTATCCTCTTTGCTCTAGGGCTACACCACCGCAAAATCAACTATAACCCCTCCACCGCACACTTGCGCTCCAATACCCGCTCATCATGTCTTTACCTCACCTTCCTTACCATTTACTACTTCCTTATTTTTGCAAATATCGCCATGCTTACTCTCGAAATCGTGCGGTTGACTAACCTTCACTATGGCATTGGTTTATTGCCATTCGCCTACGCTGGAATCCTTCTCTCGGCTGCTTTGTTTTGGAGTGAAGGAATAGAACGACGTGTAAAGTGGTGGCAGGGAATAAATATGTTGGTTTGGATAGGAGGAATTGTCATGAGTGCTGTGCAGGTTATTGGATTGAAACAACAATATGGCTACGACGGGAGAAAGGAGAGCAAATATCCAGTTAGTGACCAGATTCTTGATGTAGCTGTCATGGCGGGTGTATATGCCGTTATTGCACTACTGGAGGTTGTGCTGGTCGTATGGAGGAGGAAAAGAAGAGCATCAGCCTTGAGGTCGGAGAGAGGAGAAATGGGTGCGTTTGAATATGGGAGAGGCGTAAGCGAGAGCTCTGGCGTGAAGGAGTAAATTATTGTTTCAGACCTGGAGACATCTCTGGGGTGATCTTGTACTTGTACTTGTACTTCCTGCAATCGGTTTGGTTGGTTTGGCGTGTTGGAATGAATACATTGGGACTATTCTATTGGGATATGGTCATGGTATACCCTGGGTACTTTACTTTTCACAAACTATTAGGAAGAGTTTAAATACGCCTCGTATATATTCACTATCACTAAGCTTATTGTATGTGTGAATTGCGTCTTGATCTATTTGTGGTGAGTATTCATCCATTGATTTGCAGAAAAGCAATCGCAAAATGATTCTGCTGCTAGAACGGAATGCAAGAATGGATTTCTGAGACAGGCGCGTGAGGTTTCAGGCTTTTGAAAAGTATCAGCGCTGACAGGTTCAGCCTGGCTACGTTTCACACAGACGTAAGAAGATAGTCCGTACTTTCGCGCACATGGGGTAGCGACGAGATCGTTTTCAAAGACTTGGTGAATGGCCCGGGGTCGAGATCGAAGGGCGTGGAAACAATTGTGTGCCCAGACGTACACAGCCAGTCAATTTCTCACGATATCTCCAGCTAACTCTTATACTCATAGCCACTACGTGCTGATCAATTCCAGATCTTGCATTTGAAGTCTGGAGTAGTAGTAGGCACCATTGTTGGCGAGGTCTCCAAGTATAGTGCACGTTTAAATATATTTGAGGATAGTCTCTTTGAGATCCGGTAGTATCACATGTGGGATTTGAAAAGATTGAATTTGACTTTTGGATTCTGTTGCTATGTATCGTACTAGAATATATATATGTATATACAGATGTGCTATGAGAGTTTTACACCAATGACTATATAAACTTTATGGGAAATACTGCCTAGACTAGCCGTATAACGTGTGTATTTACATACTATTATGTTTCAATAGACTGATGTGAACGAACAAGCAGTGGACCAACTCATACAGAAGGAAATCGATGAAACGCTCAGCATTTGGGGGGTATTCGCTTAAGACTCTAAGCAAAGCCGGTGCTGACAACAAAGCTTACGTCGTCGTTGAACGAGGCGGCGACATCGAAGGTGTGGACTCCACCGTTGGACGCAGCGTAGAGTACATTGTTGTAGTGACGGAAGTAGCGAGTAGGGTAACTCCAAGCTCTAATTGAGCTACCTTGGCCACTAAGACCAGCTTGTGGGCAGAATGTGGCATCTTCGCGGAAGGCTTTGGAGCCGTCATTGGCATTGAGCAGAAGTCCAAAGTCGTAGTGTCTGATGTAGCTGCCGGGGGTATCGTTTGACTCAAAGGAGAAACAGGCGCTGTTTGCAAGACCGGCGCGAACATACCAGCTAGCTTGCTGTTTGAGCGCGGTGGCGCTGGATGATGTAACAACTTGAGTGTTCACGCTGGCGCCAGTGTGTGCAATATAGCGTGTTGTGTATCCGGCGGTAGTAGCCCGAAGAGAGATTGAGTTACCAACGGTGAGAGCAGTTCCGCTGGTCAATGATGTGGTAGCATATTTAGCAGCTACGATGTTGGCTTGAACCGAGTTCTCGGTGGCATCAGAAGGATAACCAGTGGTCATCACACCCTCGTAGAAGGTTCCCTGAGCGCTTACGCTGTTGTCTCCGCCAATTCCGAGGATGATAGCACCTTCTTTGCTCATTGGGTTATATCCACTCGCACTTGGGCGCACACCACTGTAGTACGTCGATAGAGCGCCAGATGCAGCGTTGGCGCCTCGAATGGCCCACAAGTTTGGTCCTCCCTTGACGACTGCAGTGAAGAAACGGGAGGTGATCGATGGATCTCCAGTGTTGACAGTAGCGCTCTTACCAGAGAACAAGCCGTTCTCAAGGTCGGCCATGAGCCAAGGACCGCTGCCGGATCCTGATCCCCAACCGGTGTTGTCACCAAAGTAGATGGCTTCCATGTGACCATTACCCGTGTCAGTACTGCTAGTCTCTGCGTTGCCGTAATCGAAACAGCAGCCACCATTGTAGTGCGTTCCATCGAGAACTGCGTACATACCCTCCGCTGCATCACCCTTGGCTATTCCACTGGGAGCATTATTGCGGTAGCCTGTTCCAGGCGAAATGAAGACTCCGTATGCTTTCTGGCCGTTAAGTGTGACTGGTGCACCAATTGCAGAAGCCAAGTTGTCGTAACTGTTCACATCAGGACCGTTAAATCCTCCGGGAGGAGCTTGGGTGAGGTGGTTACCACGACCAGACTGATCGTAGATTATTGTGATGAGACAAGTGGTGTTAGCGCAGAAAGTGTCTTGAGAAGCAGCATTAGCCACTCCTCCTGCAGCGAGAGGTGCAATGTTCTTAGTTGTTCCATCTGAGCCACGTTTCACCTAGTACATCGAAGAGTCAGTGATTGTTTACCAAAGAATATGAGATTGAGCATCTGATTGCTTACCTGGTAGAGCGAACCGCTGAAAGCACTGTACAAAGCGCGAGTAGTACTGTGTGCGGCAACTGTGAGATTGAAGGGTCAGTCATCAGGAACCTTTACAATGTAACGAGATCTGAGGTAATCAATTGAAGGCTTACCACACGGAGTTCCACCAGAGGAGTAGATATCGCAGGGTCCAGCAGCAACGAGAGGGCTGGCGGCAACAAGGCCTAGAGCAAGTGCGCGAGCGCGTTGGAGTTTTTGACGTGAAAACATATCTAATCACTTTTGTGGCGGAACGACGATGTGAGGCACGCTTGACAGTTCTCAAAACATTAACGAGAAGCTTAAATGGCCACTGACGTAGAACTATACACTTTAAGGTCGGCGTCTTGCGTGCCTTTTATTATCTTCATCAACTGTGTGAAGCTTGGCTTGCATGCTCCTGATTGGTACGCATAGCATGCACCTACCTAGTCGTATTGATAGATACTCAAGATAGCCACTCATCGGAATTTCCGAGGACCAAGAGTCATATGGAACTTTTTATTCCACCTCTGATGCTCGCGGAACAATTATTATACGCGTCACGAGGTCTGACTTGTACAGTGCTAAAGAAACAACAGCAGCAGTTTGATGGGGAACTCGGGTCATCCCGAATGCACCCCGCATACCTAATCATAGGTATTGCTAGTAAAATATGTGTACTATGTCAACAAATAGTGGAGAAAATGCCCGCCACTTCAGTGACCCGTGCCAGGTTTAATTAGAACAAATTTATGTTATTAGTTAGTTCTCCAGACTAAAACGGCGGATCTTATGGCTGCAGATATTTATATCCAATACCGGATCCCAAGACCTGCAGGTATAAAGATATTCCATGCGCTCCAATCGGCAGCACATAGGTTGATCTTGGGAATTAGATCTGCGGGGTAAGCCAGAGTGTTCAAGAATTGCGATTAACCCAATATTGAAATCCGGGGCCCCAGGTCGGCAATAAACTGCCGCATCGAGCTGCCCGTCCCGTTGTGCATGTGAAAAGTATGCTCGCTTAAGCACTGGTCTGGGGGTACCCACTTCTCATTGCAACCATAGCCACTTGATGGAATAATTCGGCAGATGCAGGTACGTGTAACTGTCAATTAAGAGTATAATGTGTTTTCGGAGGCCTTGATTGGCCCTCATGTCATGGGAAAATAGCGAGAGAAAAGCTTGATGTCCACAAGACTTTTTAAAGCCGTCGACCTCTATCATCCCGAGGTCCACCGGTCTAATCGATGCTGTCTTGCCTGCAATCCAACAAATAACGATTTCGTTTGCCTAACAGTTTAGTGTACAGCGTGCCTTGGAACTAAAAGAGCTTTTAATCTCGACACATGGGATGTTCATCCCGATGATGTTGCGAAGTCTAGAAAATTAGCTCTTTGAACAGAAGAAAAAGGATATGAGCGTTGCTGCGTTACGACCGCAAACATCGATCGTGTTTGGACACAGTCTGTCCATATAACGACTTGCTCTATCTACAGAGTGTACTCCGTGAAAGATAATCCCGCGGCAGATGTTCGACCCCTCAGAGAAGATGTTGAACTACGAGGAGTGGAGCAGAGAGGAGAGGAGAGGAGAGTGGCTCGAGTGGAGCATCACTAATCTACCACGTGACAGTACAGCATGGCCTGCTGCTTTTATTTTCGATAAGATCTAGCCAGCGGGTAGATGACAACGCAGCAACATCTTATTACTCTCTCATATTGCTATATTTGTTCTGTCGGAAACCTTGAATCCACCCGGAACACCGAATTTCTGGAGAGCGCCGAATCTCCTGGCGTTATCCGTAGTATCGAGCTGCTCCACTCAAATGAACAACAACTACTTCAGAATTGGAACCTAAAATGCAAAGCGGATAATTAGATAATCTGCCGCGGGAGACAAATAATGAAGGTAATAAGTAGAATTATGTTGCGCAAGAAGTTGCAGCAAGAGAAGAATTCTGAGCAACTTCAACAAGATAAGAGCACGGGCGACGTAACATTAGACAACCATGGACGAGAAGGTGATAACAATCGTTTGGCCGACAATCAACTGCTGCTACGCTATGCGCAAGGCAAGGATTTGACACAAAGTTCATGTAAAACCTGTTCGGTATTACACCCATTTGACCCAATCAAGTTAAAACCTGGAGATCATATATCGGAGTGTACTCGATGAGGGAAACAGCAGCAGAAGGCTGCGAGCGTGTTCAATCCCGTTGAAAGTTGCAACTTACAAAGTGGAATGTGTATCTTTCTTGAAGTTTTCTTTCCAATATGGCTACTTAGCTGCGGTAGCTTCTTGGGACGATGAGGAATCTACCCAAAGAGAGTACTGTGTCAACCTCCACACCTTGCCTGGTAAGACCACCTCGACAACTTTGCAATAATTTACGTTAGAAATCATATAACTGAATGTCCAAGGTCAAACTTCACCATGGCCTTGCGTTACAGCCCAGCAACACATTCCCCCACGAATTGAGATATTGAATGCAATTCGCCATATCAAAAAATGGCTCAGCCAGTGCGTGAGCCTTGATAGTCTCGCTCCTTCAGGCCATCAGTGCCACGAAGTCAGCGGGCTTATCATGCCAGTGCTACCTACTCGTGTGCTAGATGTTCGTTGGGTTGGTCTCGATGGTAAAGTTTACTTGGTTCACAGCAATGGAAAACACCAAAAGTACACAACCCTAAGTCACTGTTGGGGCGATGCAAACCATGCGCCTATTACGACCTCAAAGGCCACTGTATCCGATAGAGAATCTGGCATTGTTCTTGACTCTTTACCAAAAACTTTCCGAGATGCTGTAGTTATCACCTACAACCTGAACATAAACTATATATGGATTGATTCACTTTGTATCATCCAAAATAGCGAAGAGGATTGAAATTTAGAAGCTTCCAGGATGGCGCAGATTTACTCTTCCAGTTTCTTGAATATAGCTGCAACTGCTTGCAAGGACAGTACTGTTGGCCTTTTTCATGACGGCTGGAATGAGGAGGATGGATTCTTGGGGGCGCTGCGTGAGATTCGAGGGCCAGGAAGTATTTCAAATCATGGCGATTATTCGATTTATATGCAGGAGATAGATCACAGCCACTTTCACGATTCCGAACTTCGTATAGAAGGTCCTCTGGTAGGCGTTCCAGAAGGGCATGCAGAAGAGTTAGGTTAACAGTTTCCAGATGTCCCGAGCGTGGGTATACCAAGAACGTTTCCTGGCGCCTCGAACTGTACACTTCACATCAGCAGAAATGATCTGGGAATGCGGCAGCATGGTCGTTTGTGTATGCCCGTGTGATATTCATCTTGGCCTTGACACAGTACCAAGGTATCACAACTATAGCCACCGAGAGAAAAAAGATCAATGGTTCGGACAGTGGGGCATAATTGATGAATATTCCAAGCACAACCTCAGTAAGCCAGCAGATCGGCTCCCAGCTATTGCAGGGATTGCGTCTCATTTCGGGAGCCACAAACGTAGGATAAATGATGGGAAATTGACAACATCTCGCTACTTTGCTGGTCTTTGGGAAGACAACCTACATCATGATTTGCTATGGCGTGTGATCTTTCCGGAGAATAAACCTCGTGAGGTAGTTCGGATCGTCCCATACAATGCGCCCACATGGTCATGGGCTTCTCTGGATTCAAAATTTATATCAAGTGGAAAGCCAGGTCAGGGTGTTAACATAGGAAATCACTACAGTACCGGTGGTATAGCCCCTGATTTCAAAATTTTGAATTGCTTTACAACGCTAATCGATCCGTCTAATATATACGGTGGTGTTAAAAGTGGAAAGATTGTTTTGCAGGGAAGATCCGTTACACCAACAAAAGTAAAATTGTTCATCGAGGAAATTCAATGTTACAAATTTTTCTTCCATGGTATCAAAGCACGTGGACGAGCGATAAAAGACAATCAAAATTTTGGGAAGCCGATGGCAGATATCCCACTGAGGTTTTCCAAAGACAGAGTCGATTGTGGAGAATTACATTGCTTGTGGATCAATTCATTCCAGGGTGTTAGGCGTAATGATTACCGTCATTTAGCACTAGTCTTGAAGCAATCAGAAACTTCAGAGATATATGAGAGAGTGGGTATTGCCACGTTTGATAAAGGTGGCATAGCAGTCGGTGGTAAAATCAGTGATTCTACTTTTGGTAAATTTATGGAATCTATCTGGAGCAGAAGTAGCATCCAAACGTTTGAGGTTGTCTAAATCGGGATGAATACTTCAGATAAGCGCCATGTATTCAGGAAGTCTAGGCGAAGCCGATTGAACCACTGATAGGAAAGAAGCCTTCTTCTTTGTCGATACCCTTTAACATCATTCAAACATACACTCTCGTCGCTTTACCAGGCTCTACATTCACCACACCAACCGTATAATACATCTTACTATCATTATTGGGAACGGGGTTGACTGATATATACGCATAGTTCGTCAGATACCTTCTCAATAGCAAGATAGCGGTCTGCTACGAATATACTCGAAAGAAAGACACACTACGACACTTGTCGGCTAACTTGAGCATTTGAATGGGATATTTTTTGCAGTCAAATTAGTGATGACGCCGCGGTGGCAAATTGATTCTCGAAGAACGTTAAATTGAATCAACTAGAAATAGAACGCTATCTAAGTAAATTCTCGTCTCTGTAGCAATGATTGATCTTTCCAGCTAGATCTTTCCATTTAGCGTCCGTTAGACAATAACAGAACACTTCAGGTCCGGGAGTCTATCTTTGATACCATTATTTCTAGCTTTAGACATAGTTAACGAAGAAATACGAAAAATAGTCAACTGTTCCTACGAGATGTATATATTTAGAGTCTGCCAAGTGACACCTATATCATTCTCTTCGAAGGAAAAGTGTTGCTCATCGTCTATGATAGATAATTGACAAGACTCCTCTTCTTTGCAAACAGATTCAAAATGATGAGTAAACAAATCTAAATGCTAATCTTAGCCTCGAGTCGAATACCATCAGCGAAAAAGATATTTGAGACTTTCATTAAAGAATTCTCCCATTATCTCATAGCCTCCTCTTGAAGTTGCGACCCCCTTCCTACTCGTTTGTTCTCCCCCCAAAAGATCCGGAACACAACTCTGTGTCTACTATATTGGCTGGCTATCAGATGTAACAATAATATATATTTGAATAACACTTGAGCATACATCACTACAAAGTAATGACCAGCGTTTGTGGTTTAGTGGTAAAATCCATCGTTGCCATCAACTTCTCTTTCACAGGACGAATGCGACACAACCTCGATGGGCCCCGGGTTCGATTCCCGGCGAACGCATAAATTTTTGCCCGTTCAATAGATTTGAAATTTTGAATAACTGTTTTGTTGTGGAGTTCTTAAGTTGTGGTGGGTTCAAATTTGTGAAGCTTTGGTGATGATGGTGGGGTAGTGTGGGGTGGTTGTGGTTTTGTTTTCTGGAATGATAATAAGTGAGCACAGATAGCTGTCTTTTGATATATATGATATTGAGAATTTTATTTGATTCTGAGAATCTGCAACATCTTGTTGATGAAGAAGTCAAGAGGGATTTTTTGGGCAGTGCAGCTTCCTGTACATGGTACCTCGGAGATTGAGGGTGTTTGAATTTTCCCGTTTTGCCTAAACCTGCATATTTTGATGCTCTGTTGGCCAATGATTATTGCAGTCAGCGGCTTACAATGTAACATGTACCATAACCCCGGCTTCAAAATCATTTCCTTTCATCCTCCAATTCTTGAGAGAAACGATGCAAATATGCGATAACTTACATAAGTTCATTCTTTGATCCTTGGCATGAGATAGTCTATCCACATCCTCCCTCAATACAGTCATCATTCTGGGATTCCGTATACCTTTCTTCCTCGAGCAATTACAAAGAAGATGCCTTCAAAGTGGACAGAGGCACACAAGTCAACTAATGGACCAGGTGATGCACGTCCAACCGCCTTGCAGATTGTACAAGATGAGGATCTAACAGGCAAACTCACTGGAAAAGTCATCCTCATAACAGGGTGCTCTTCGGGAATTGGTGTCGAAACTGCCAGAGCTCTGTCTACCACGGGAGCGACATTGTATCTAACTGCACGGGACATCACCACTGCTGAGAAGGCACTCGAGGATATCTTGGAGCCTGGCCGAGTGGAGGTTCTGGAAATGGATCTCAGCTCATTAGCTGGGGTGAGATTGGGCGCCGAGAAATTTCTAAGAAAAAGGTCTAAATTGAATGTTCTAGTGTGTAATGCTGGAATCATGGCAATTCCAAATTATACCACGACTGTGGATGGGTTCGAGACACAATTTGGGGTTAACCATTTGGCACATTTTCTACTTTTTCAACTGCTGAAGGATACGTTGCTATCTTCTGCTTCTCCATCATTTAATTCGCGGGTGGTTATGGTATCCAGCGCCAGTCACCGTAATGGGGGTATCAGACTCGACGATTACAACTACACCAAAAGACCAGAAGAGTATGACTTATGGGGTTCGTACTCGCAATCGAAGACGGCCAATATCTACATGGCCAATGAGATTGATCGTCGCTATGGTCAGCAAGGGTTACATGCAACGTCCTTGATGCCGGGAGCAATACCGTCTGGGATTAACAGACATCTTGACCCGAAAGACGTAGCGGAGTACAATGCCACAGAGATAATGAGGAAAACGATGAAAAGTCTAGAGCAAGGTGCTGCGACGACAGTGTTAGCTGCAATTGGAAAGGAGTTTGAAAACAAAGGCGGAGTTTACCTAGAGAATTGCGAAGTTGCAGGACTCTATCCTTCTGATCGTCAGCTCGATCACGTTGCTAACATCCCGGGGTATGTGGAGCATGCTTTTGACAAAGAAAAAGAAGGTAGACTTTGGCGGGACTCTTTGAAGATGGTCGGGTTGGATGAGTGAGAGTATGAAAACCTAGTATAATCTACGGTATTAGGGTATTCCATAGTTCATATTAGTAGATACTGAACTGTGTCTAATGCGCTCGTTTTTTCCTAAGCTTGCACAATATCTAATGATTGAAAGCAAAATATTTAACGAATCGATTTACTCAATCGTATATAGAACTAAAAGTCTATGCCATTGAAATTCCTGTATCTCTCTTTCCTGGAGTATCCAATTGTTTGAATTGTAATTCAACAATATAAGATTCTAAATATCTAAAAGCAATTCGAAGTTCGATTATTTTTTAAGTATTTCAATCGATTTTAACATCTTAGACGACTGGATTATTTCTAACTGATTTGAGAATTTGACAACCTTTATTATTTATTGAACTAAGTCCAGACTATTAGACACCCTGTTCTTCTACCTACACCAATAAACCTGAATCATAACTTCCCCAATTTCTCCACACTGTAATCTCTAGCAGACCCGAAAGTTCCGAGTACATTGCCATTAATATCACACTCACATCAGAATCCATCGTCTCAGTTCTCGCTGTCTTGAAACCAGTCAATTCCTTGTCCAATGGGTTGCTCCGGAAGATGAAATCGAATTCCTCCCTAGTTTGTTGAATTTCGTGAAATATTGGGAATATCGCATGAATCTTCGTGAATGATGTTTATATTGAATGTTTTTAGGGAGAAGATTATCCGAAGATGAGTTTCATAGACAGTGTTCGTTGCCTTAATTATGTACTATGCCAGTACAATAGTAACAATATAATCGCAAGACAACCCAATTCCACTTCATCCAGAAACACTTTTTGCCATGCAAGATAAAAATCACTCCAAGAAGGAAATCCAGGACCAAAACCAGTATCATCCACTTCAAAGACAGAGCTGATTTTCTCTTTGCAGAACTCAAGCGGTTCGCTTGCTACGTTATCTGAACCATAAAGTGGTAGATGTCTTTTCCAATCTTCCTCCGACTCAAACTGCTTGTAAACAACGATTGCCAGTGCTGTGTTACAGCGAGAGATGAGGTATCGGTTGTGGTGCTTCAATTCAAATTTGCATACCGTTAGACAATACCGACACTGCAAAAGTACCGAATGAACATGTCGAGATGTGTTGTTCTCGTCGGTGCCGGTGTTTTTCTGACAAGGTGGTTGTGACGCTGACCATATATCTTCATGCCTACCGTAGTCACAGTATAATCTGTCGCAGAACTTATCATCAACTTTCCAGAGATTCAGATGAGAGCAAATAGGTATACAGCCAGGTGCGTCAAGACTTTGACATTTCCATCTGTAATTCATGAATTTCCGTGTGACCATGGAACCATTTTTGATACGGCATTTTCCTCTCTTTTCTGTGGTCAAGCTTCTGCAAAACTTATCAACAGCGTAGTTCTCGGGTGCCGACAATAGTCTTAAGAGCCGCTGGGTTTGAGCATCGTTACCAAAAAGTCGGTGGCTTTTGATTGCCGTTTGTAAATAGTGACGCCAAAATTCTTGTAGACATACACATACAAATGGCGCAAATCATCGTCTATTACACAACTTGGTATTCTTTCGAATTCTGGAAGTCCGGAAATCTCTGGGTCAGTTGTATATCCATCCAAGCAGTAATAATTTTTGTCATATCTTTCAGCAATTCGCATTTTATGAAGCTTTCTGCACAAAGTGCAAACGATTTGATCTTGAAGATCATGTTCCAGAAGATTCAGAAATTCTATTGTGTCGTCTTTCGAAGTCTTCAAGCCATCGATATATTGCGTTCCAATCACCAAGCCAATTTGTCGACAAGTGAGGAAAAAGGATCCAGCCGATGCAGGAGTAAGATGTTTAGCAATCATTTGCATAACGTCATTTGGAACTATGCGCAAGGGTGAGTTATTTAAGGCATCCGATGGATTTGGCCTCGAGATGCCAAGGTATCGATTGAATCGAAATGGATTTTGTCGAAAAAGAACGAGCTAGGATTTAATATTATCCATTTTGGGATGGATTTAGACGTGATTGAAGTCGAAAATGTTGAAAGGATCGATATATTTTCAAATAAGTAGTGACAGAAGGGGATTGAAGAGCGTCCTTATATGTGAGAATGTACCAGATAATAGTAGCTAGCTTGTGTTGGCCCAACTAGCTACGGCTAGTATGGTCACCTGATTGATTAGGAGTTTTATAGCCGTATTTTGAGCTTTTAAGTAGAAATATTTAGTTGAGGATAAGCTAGCTATCTTAGATCATTCATGTGTACCACAGTGGCAGTAGTAAAAACCACTTTCAAGAACTTCAATTACATTTGTCGAAACCACTTAAATCCTCATGTCAGAAATGGCCAAGCTGATATTTCATCAATCTTTATTTCTGGCATTTACTTGCAAACAACTTCAAAATTAGGTTCCATATTAAAATCAGAATCAAATTCGGGTAAAGCCCTCCTATTTTTGAAAAAGTCAACAGCTCCTTCCGGCCCCAGACGAGGCTATTCCGACTGCACCTTCCAAAATGTTGATCATATGAGGTCAATAGCTCATTTCTCTAAGAAAATGACTTTAAAAATCAAATACATCGAGATAAGAGTCAGGACCCAAAGAAGAATTTTCTCTCAGTCTTTGCAGCAGTCAGTCAAACACCACCAGCTGGTATCATGCTTAAGTAGCTACGTATTCTATTAGAGATCAGGTATGGATCTCAAGTTCTGATAAATTGTTATTCTACGCTGGAGTCTACTGTATACTGGGTGTTATGAAAGGTTAAAACGTTTCGTCTGAGGTTGTTTGGATATGTATTTTTTGAATCGTTTGACATTTCATAGCGAGAGAGGAAAGCAATGGATTTTGATGGCCTGTCATCTTGGATCATAAACACTTTCTAATCGTCGAGAAAGTATTTGTACAATATATCACGAGTTTTGAGACAGACAAGGTCACTATAACTTGACTGCATATTAATGTTCTGAAGAAATCAACCTATTCTGTCCATCTGCACTCGCAATAAGTAAGGGCCGCTTTGCATTCTTGAAGCTCTGGATCAATGAGAGCGTCTTGGCCAGAATTACTTATGATTATTTGTTCTAGGCGATTCGAATATCAAGTATTTTCAAAATGCAGCTTCACTTCTTGATTCTCACGCGTACGAGCACGAAGAGTGTGAAGATCAAATCAGCTGAATTTATCATCTATATTCAGGCCCCATAGTGTGTACCACCCACTGCGGGTTGAGCTACGCGGAGACCTACAAAAGAGAACAGATTCCTGTCTACGTGGACATTGCAAGGATACGAGTTACCGAAGATTCTCAACGAGGACTTGGATTGATGGTACGCCTTAAGCTCGACAAATATTTCAAGCCCGAATATGCAAAATAGGACTTAAAGCTTCAATTCCCATAAGTAGAAACAGAAAAGTAGGAAGAACAAACAATGTTGGAGGATAGTGATGACGAAAAGATTGTAAGATGAAACGATGACAATAATAGATTGCTATTGCCAATCTCGTTTTTCAAGAGACGATGAGACAATGGACACAATTTTTGCACAAATAATTCTCTCAATTGTTAACGCTAGATTTGGTAGGAATATTGACAAACGCTTGAGCCTTCTCACCAGGTCTTGGAGTCCAGGCCCTATAGCCAACCAGATAAGCATCCTTTCCTCGTTTGATCCATCCAAACCTTGAATCTAGAGGGAGCTTAAATAATCATCATGTAGGCCGAAAGAGGAAGAAATTCTGTTAACTGGTGCTGGGGTAGTGAATTTTGACAGGAGCAGCATAGCTGTGGGTTTTGTGGTACCAATAGAAGGGGGGGAGTATTGTTTGCCAAACTTGTATGGCTGAATGAGAGTACGAGACTATTCACTTCTTCCCAGCTCTCGACTTCAAGCAGCAACAGGAAAGATATAAATAATCCATAAACATCTTCCAACCGATATGATATACATGCTTCCCTCGATATTCTACCAACATGCTCTGTGGGAGCGGGACTTGTTTCCAGATAGAACAAAATAGATCAATCATGCCAGAGTACTCGTACTTCAAGGTTAAAAATTGAAAGGTATCTTAACGTCAGGAAATTACAGTAGAAGAATAGGAAAAAGATAACAAAAGATTCTTGTTGTCAACAGACTTCGGATATATATGGCACTTGATATGCTACTAATAGTACCAGAGCCTTAAAGCTTTAGGGTTCTGTTAACCTAGCTTGCTAATCACCGGACCAGATGGACCCTTACAGAAATGTCAGATAGCAACTTTCCAACTCCTAAGGTCTATGTAATGATGGTTCCAAAACTTTGAGATATAGCCTTCGACTCCTGGGGCATATTGTATATATGAATGATAAATGATTTCGATCGACATAGTGAATTTCAGGCAAGGTGGTCTATCATAGAGAATTTTTCGCTCGTAATATAGCTGTAGATATCTACTTCAAATCATCAGGTTCTCCCTCAAATAGAGTATTGACGTATTCAATTCGCTCTAATTGCTTTAATGCAGATATGAACCACATACCAAAGCGGATATAGATTTGTATCAAAATCGGAGTATACATCCCTTCGGCAATATGCATGGTATTGTCTTAACTCCAACATCTCATGCCCTGTATTAGACATGAAACCTTTATAATGCTATCGAAAAATGATACTGGAGTCAGGCGATATCTCAAATGAAGTGATCGACGGCGGAGTAAATTCGGCGAACGAGTTTGGAGAGGCAAGATTTAACGACAGCGAGAGTACTATCCAAATCCCATCTTTCATAGTAAATTCTTCACAGACACTCACGATTAGATAGACGGCGATCAAATTTGAAGAACAGCGCTTACACGTCATCGCTCTGTGTAGTCCTCGACGTCGAAGAAAGCCGATGATAATTTCTTATTCCCATTACTAGCCCCGAGAATTTTGCGTAGAATCGATATGGTTCATCTAGAGACAAACCAACACCTCTCAAGACCATGTAGCAGTATTTATTCAATTGCGATATCACAGCGATACAACCTCATAGTTCCCACCCCTCCAATATATAACATTCCATTCACCTCAACCCCACCCCCACTCCAAGCCAGTCCAGTCCAGCCCCCCACGTCCCTCGCTTAAAATCTCTGCTGACAAAATTCTCTTTACCCCACTAATCAAATGTACAATATATTTTTAACAAAAGCATCTTTCTCCATCAATCAACCAAGTATCCGGCATGGTGTAGTGGCTAGCATTTCCGCCTCTCATTCGATGCTTCCGAGCTTCAATCAAGTCGCGGGAGACCGGGGTTCAATTCCCCGTACCGGAATAGATTTTTGCATTTTGTTTGGTGGAGGCGTTTGGGACATGTTCTAGACTTGTAGATCTTTTACTGCTGGTATAAATTATGATACTCAATCACATATTTGCAAGTGTGTTGCAAAAAGACCGACAGAGGAGGTAAAAGCATCATGACAGGATTAGTAATCAGATGTTGCTTGTCTATTTTTATGAAGTTTTCAATTGAGCACGATTCGAAATATATTCCCTTTTTTTCTTGTAGGTAAGGTTGGAATATATCAATCTCACTAAGAGTATATTGAAGTTGTTGTCAATTGTTCACATCAATCAATATATTTACTCGATACACTCAATATCAATCTCTAAGAGCGAACCTCGGCCATTAACCTCAACTGTTGTCGAAAAACCACAAACGACTCCCTTACCACCAGCTTTATGAAAAGACTACTTACTTATTCCACGATGTATTTACCGAACTATACATACCCAAGTTTATCTCAAAAGACACCAATTGCCAAATGCCCTTGTTGTTCATTTTTGAAAAGTGTCCTTTAGATGGGATATCGAAGAGAAAAAGATAGAGAGAAGTAAGGAGATTCTTATATCTTCACATTTGGTATAGTGGTACGAGTCAGAGTCATTTGTCAAAGAGTGAATCTCAACTAACCACCGAATGACCTCAGTTGTTTGAATTAACATATTAAGCATAAGCAAGTCTATAAAAGCCACCTCTTCAACTCTACAGTGAGAAAGGGTTGTAAGAAATACAAAGTCAGGACTATATTTAGTAAACCCAGCCTGTATAAGCACCTCATACATAATCATCTTCACAAAATAGCATTCGTACACACGTAGAACCAAATACCAAGATCAGTATGTAATTAAAACTCATTCAACCGCTAGCACATACACAATCTGTGTACACACTACTTACTACCTTGATATATTAATTTCCATACACTGCACTATTTCTTAATCATCCCTGAAAAGACAATAGTAAATATTGACCCACAGTATCCATATACAACAGTCTGACCATCTCCGCTCCGATATTCAATTATCCCCCTCTCCTCGCAAAACCCCCGAATGTAGAACCATAACCTAATCCAAACCCTCGCGTCTTTTCTCCCCCCCATTCCCTAATTCCTCCTCCCCCCTCCCCCCTCCCACCATCCAAAAACTTCCACACTACACTACACTGCACACTACACTACACTGCACACAACACAAAAACCACCTCCAACCTTTCTCCGCACCACAACCACCCAAGAACCCCCAGCCCTTCCCCTTCCCCTTCCCCTTCCCCTCAAAAATAAAGCCAAACCATAAGTCCTCACAACCATAACCAACCACAACCACCCCAAAGCTACACACAACAATAACCTACCCTCCACCAAACCACCAAACCCCCACCCCATTATCTTCTCTTCCCCAAGAACGAAACAGAACAAACAGAACAGGGTATCTATCTATCTCTCCATCTATCCAACGGACAGACAACAATCCAGACAAACAATACTGGAGCCCGAATATATCTCAAAAGTAAAAGTAATTAGAAATACAAAAACCATTTGTGGAAATTCAATCAAATGAATAATGCCAAATGAGTGGAATGTTCTATTCGATCTCAGGATTTGATAATCTTCAATATCGAACTGCGATTTGGACTCTTGAATTTTCTGAGGTGAAAGCTACCAAGTAAAAGAGCGATTTTTCACATTGTTGTGTTCTCGAGTCCTATCACCACTTCCGTAAAAGATACTGATGAAAAGTAAATGCACAAAAGCAAAGCACTTGCACTTGCATTTGCCTTTACCTCTCCAGACAATCGATCATATCATATACACAATCTACACATCAACCGATAAATCAGACGAAAATGAAGTGAAATCCCTCTTCGTTTTGGACTACTATCAACTGTACTCATTCAACATCTAATCCATTCTCCTCTCCCCAAAGCTAAAGCTCGTCCTCACTCTTCCACATCACCCACTCAAAATGCCACCCTAAAGAAGAAAAACCACCCTAACCACACTCAAGAAAGAAAAGTCCGCGAGGGTGGCCAAACAAGGCTCGACCATTAATACAAATGCCCTATTCCGTTCCATCATCCTCAACTTCTAATTGCCTATCCAATCCTCCAAACATAAAGGGTAAAAGGCGAAAAAGCAAATTTTTTGAAGTCAATCAGGATATCATATATTCGCCAACCATTCATCGACCGCCCATCAACTCTTCTAATGTGTTCCATGATATCCTTATCAAATCCAATAGTGATACCAAATCCTCCCAATCTCCTTCACGGAGAGCCCTACATCTCATATATGTAAAAAAGTTTTTCCATCTCCACCTGACCTGAGAGAAGAGAAAAAAGTAGACTGAAAAAAAAGGGTTGTGCTATAGCTCAAAATATAGAACAAAATAGCCAAAGGTCGCGATTGACAAATACCAACTTTTGCTTGCTGCAAATGCTGACATATGATGCGGTCAAAAAGCGCTCAACGATTCAGAAATTCTTGCTGTGCTTTGCTCTGCACACCATATATTCAGGTGTGAGCATTGATCTATGAAAAGCCCCAAATTCAAAGAAGAACGTGTATTCCAAAGTAAAGGTGATATAATAGCTCCATGTGCTCTATCAACGGAAGCACACATATGCGACCAGCAGAAAAGGTCACTTCTTGCCATGTTCACCAAAAACGCCAAGAGAATAAAGCCAATGTCTTTGCTCCATGCAAAGATTGCGGCGCCAACATCATGTTTTGAGTTCATTATTCGTTCATGATTCAACTTTGTGAAGATCATGATAGTGCCTTCTGAGCTTTTTCTTGTGCTCGGGCATTGCGTGCAGATCGTACTAAAGGTGCCAATTGAATGAGGTCTGTGCATTGTTTCATGAAATCGTGCTACAAAAGATAATGTATTAGCCGTAATCAATATTGATGTGATGAAGGAAAATATTTACCCTTAACAAATCATGAGCACTAGCTCGCTTTTCTGGGTCGACCTTAAGAGCAAAGTAAAGGAAATCCCGGAAGACAATGCTCAATTCCTGTTCGTTCTTGATGGCAGGAGTGCCGTTCGTTGCGATTAAGTATAAAGCTCTCAGGGGTGATTCGGTGAGGTAGGGGGGCTCTCCTTCAATCATTTCAATCGCCATAATACCAAGAGACCAGATATCAACTTTGCGCCCATATTCTTTGCGTGTGACAACTTCGGGTGCCATCCAGTATGGTGTACCAACCATGGTAGTACGTTTATTGTGAGCTTCGTTAATTTGGGCACAGAAGCCGAAATCAGCTGCAAAAGATGTTAGGATTAGTGTTACATATTCGGAAGGTAGCAAGCTTACTGAGTTTAATGTTTCCATCCATAGACAAAAGAATGTTATCCGACTTGATGTCACGATGAATGACTCCTTTGGAGTGCAGATGTTGTAAACCCTTCAAAGTCTCCCGACAAACTGCCGCAATTTGACCTTCTGACATAATATTGAAAGTAACAACATCTGTCAAACTTCCACCCTCCATGTATTCCATAATTACCCAAAGTTCTCCAGTGACCAGAAAACTGTCAATAAAATTGACTATATTCGGATGAGAGCTGTCTTTCATGACCAGAATTTCGTTGATGATCAAATCTTTCTTTGGCTGTTGTTCGAGATTCATTTGTTTGATGGCTACCAATCGATTTGTCCCTCGTTCATAACCAGTATAGACACCACCAGATGCACCTTGTCCAATCTTAGTGAGCTCCCTGTAAATATCTCGAGGGTCACCCTCTGTACAAATTTGCTTTAACCTGGTGACAATATCAAAACCAGTGCTTTGTCGTGCTCGTTGCCTGGGGCGTGGACCCGGTACATGTCTAGCTTGTTGGATTGGGTGTGGAACACCATTCGCTGGGAATTGACCTTGAGGAGTTGGCGGAGTAGCTTGCTGAGTGGGCTTCTTGACACTAATCGATCGGCTCATTGCCTGTTGAGCCTGTTGCATTGCCTGCTCTTGATGGTGCAAAATCTGTTGTTGGTAAACCTGTGGAGATGCTGGTACTGGAGTTGTATATGGTGGTGTGCCGTTTACTCTTGAATTTGATCTTGATCTTGACCTGTGTTCTTCTGGAAGCATAGGGCCGTTGTCCTGTACAGTTGGAGGGACGTATGCCAATGCCGGTAAATCATCACTTTGACGGGTCATTCCAATTCCAGAATCTTTACCAGCGGCAGGTGGCGGTGGTGCAACTCGAGTAGGCCCTTGCATCGACATAGGTGGCCTAGGGGCTGGTCTGTTGGGAACGAGCCCATTGAGCTCAGGCTTGGGCTGGGAACCCACACCTTGAGTTCCGCGTGGAATTGGAGGCGGGGATCTTGGGTTCTCGAAATTCATCTCGTTATTCGAGGGAAATCGAGGACTAGCTGGAGGACTCATCATCGGTGTCATTGAACCATAATTCGGATTATTGAAGCTCGGGGACAATGGCAATGGCGCCGGCGCAGTGCGCGCCATCGTCATCTCTGGTACCTTTGCATGATCAAATTTGTCAAATATTTCTTCACCACCTTTATCCGTGTTCTCTTTATAGAAACCGACGATATCGACAATTGTTTGCGGATGCTGCTCTTGTTCCTTTTTCGTGATTCCACTTTCGTTGATCATACGCTGCCATTCTTTTGGCAACCCCTAAGAATTTGTCAGATACGGAATAATTCTTTGGAGCGGGGCAATTCGTCATTGATCATACTTACAGTAAACTGACCAGTTGTGTTATCGTATCCAACGTGAGTAACATGCACAGGATTCTCAGGTGCGGAAATTTTGACCCCTCTAGGTGAGCCAACACCTATGCTGCTCATAAAACCAGAGAAGCCCGACTTTTTTCTTAGCATTCCGGATTTGGGCTCCTTAGTCTCATCCGAGTACCTCTTGGGACTGATGAGCTGGTTTTCACCCACGCGTGGAGGGGCTTTTTCGCTCATCTTATCGCCTGCGGTAAAACTTGCGGATTGCCGTAACTGTGGACTTACCATATATGCCGGACTCGTGTGCGATAACTGTGGTGGTGGCGGTCGCCGCAAAGTATTTGGGGTACTAGAAGACTTTGTTGAATCGATGTGACTAAATAAACCAGAACTATCAAAGGGAGCACCGATAAAGTCTTCGGAACTCTTCTCACTTATTGGTCGCGATGGAATGGAACGGCGATTATCATTCGCTCCTCCCATGCCTATGGGCTGAAGCACGAATTCTGAACCGGCCAATACTGGAGAGGTGTTCGAATATTGATGCTCAAGAGACGAATTACTGGATGCGGGATGGGGAGAGGTAAGTTTTCGGGTATGACCTGGAGCGTAGTAAGATCTGGGGTAAGAAGGTGCCGATGGGGCTCGCTGTAAGCTTCCAGAGCTACGCTGGCTTCGTAAAGATGTATGGAAGGAAAAAGATGAGCTGTCGTTTTGTCTTGCCTCGAATGAAGCTATAGCTTTGGATGGTGGTGGCCTTTTAGTTAACTTAGTTAACCTGCGGCTGGTTGTTTTGATTTCCTGATCCATATCTTTGGTCACTGCTCAGACCTTCGTTTGAACTTTGGGAGGTCCGCCGCTTTGAGTGGAGGATGAGTGTTTCGTAAATTGCCGTGACACTTTGAGCCAATCAAAAAATGAAATCTGCATGCAATATCAAATTGGTACAGGGTAACGAGTGACGGGGTTCACTGTCTGTACGGTATCTCCTTTGTGTAAATCAAATAAATCAAATAATGGTACAGGAAAGTAGTACTGGAGTAATTGTCGCCCAATTTTCGCTCAATGAAGGGGGAAGAGGGTAAAGTAATAGTTCTTGTTGTTGTTTGGTAGCGGACGGGAATTACCAGAAGATGTGTATGGGTGCTGAGTATCTCTAGTTGAACAGTGCAGCCAAAACACTATATATGATCGGAGTGTGGTTCGTCGATAAAATTGGCGGCCAAAACAATATCTGTGTAAGATGAATGGAGGTGAATCAATTTATGACGGGGGATTCTGGGTTTCTTGAGCTGATGTGGACGAATGGGAGATGCTTGATTTCTTCAGTTGATTTTGATGACAGCGATACCTAGGTAGGGAGGAGGGAGGAGGAGGGCAGGAGGGTACTAGGTAGGTCGTGACGGGGCAGGAGATTATTCAAAAAGAGGGGAGGGACTGGGAGGGGTATGGGATGAGTGAGGATAATAGATTAGATAGGACAGGTATAATATGACATGAACCAGTGGTGCTGCTGCTGGTATGGGTATATTGTATGTGTATGTGTATGTGTATGTGTATGTGGATGTGTGTGTAAGTTGTAAGTTGTCAGTTGTATCTGATTTGATATGATATGATATGATATGATATAAAATCCTCGGATGGACGAATAAATTACTGTGATCCTCTCCAAAAGGGTAACTGACGATGAACATCTCTTCTCCCCCCCAATTCTTAATACGGCTTTGATCGATCTTGTGAAGCTATGAAATCTTTGAGCTCAATGATCATGATCAGTGAGTGTATGATAAGGTGGCTTCAACGGCGGTAGTTGCCAAACCAAGCCCCAGCGATGAGCGATGAGCGATTTGCCAATGTATGGCAGGGGAGAGAACCTTCAATAATTCCGATTCCTAGGGACAGTGCTGGGTACTGGGTACGAAGACTGCTCTGCTCTGCTCTGCTCGGCTGGTAGGGAAAGTAGGGAAAGTAGGGAAGGTAGGGAAGGTAGGGAAGATACCAAGAGCATTAAAATTCCTTGATTATATTCCCTGCTGAGTTTGAAGGACTTGAGCTTGGATTCGGAAAAGACTTTCGATTTTCTCCACTGCCCGACCTTTTTTCGACCCTTTTCGCTGTCAGCGCTGTCAGTTTAACCGATTTGACTGGGTTTAGAGAGAGGATGACTGGGTCATAAATTGGCTTGTAAATTGTAATCGTGATGAAATCTTGGGAAAGGAATGATCAATGGATTCTAGAAGGAAAGTAATGGGAAGGAGTAATCTAATGATTGAGTAATTGAGTAATTTGAGTCAGAGTTTTAATGAAAGGATAGGATAGGTTGAATGAATTCTTGTCAATGGAATATAAGGAGGGGAGGTCGTCGGAGGAGGGTAAGAAGGAGTCTGGAATATATCAATCAATCAATCAATCAATGACATTCAACCCCAATACACCAAAATGTGAATCAAGCTTGGGAGACGATACGGAGGAGAGGAGAGAGGGGAAGGCAAGAGATACTGGCATTTTGACGACTTTTTATATCGACAAACTTACTAGGTGCTCATGAATGAGCGATATCTAATAAGTACTGTCTAATATTATCTACGTTCATGATGAAAACTATTGCACATATCTGCCTACCAAGGGATGTTGTATCTACCATCATTTCTTTCTCTAATACCACCTGCCTGCCGATACGTGAGAGAAAATCCATGTCAAAATTGATCGACTCAATAAATCCTATAATAAATCAACCACAAATGAATTTACGAGAGTTGATAATACCAAAACAAACCTTTGGGTAGCCTTCAATTATCATACTACCTATTGCAACTTTTAATCATCTAAATTGAGAGGGAAACCTTTGCATCGTTGAAGGGGTTCGCCAGTGGTCAATTCCATTTTGTCCTACGAGTAGCCTACTAACGAATGCCAATGCTAGTAATTGCTTCCAGTGAGCTGCTCCATTTTTCGTACAGTATTTCAAACAAGCCTCACTACCACAACATATACATTACATGACACTACTGTACATCGACAGCATGTATTTAATAGGGAGGTAATCACACCTAGAAAGGTAATGTTTTGTATTTGAAGGTCTTTAAGCCACTGCCTTTGATCAAGTTGCCCTACAAACTCTGCAGCCCATTTTCTCACTGGTATGTCTAGCAATCTATATACCACCTTTGAACTACACGACCTCACTGCTAGTCCAATTATCTTGCAAACAATCATATTCGTACTTGAACGCCTTCTAAGGTTCATGCAAAGACCCTGAATGGCTTCTTATAGTAGGTTACTGTTACTACTCTCCAAAAAGTGTTACTTGCTTGCTTGCCTGATTGCGATTCATCTAGAACTTCTCTCGTTGGCTGGCTGAATTAGAATGATTTCGTTGGTTAATCCTTCTGTATTGAATTAATTTTTCTTTCGTCACTTATATTTCCTATCTAAACTATCCATCTAGTAGTTCACACATGTATTTCCCAGCTATACTATGTGGTAGCTCACCCTAAACAACAACCCACGACCATCATCACTTTGTTCCACCAGTTTGTTCGGACAAAATACCTCCAGAGGCTGTCAACATCCGATATACCACACCTTCATATTCATTAGTGTACAAAGTACGTAACTGATACCAAATCCCTAGTAATAAACTGTTGAAAGCCGTTGGTGCAATGAATCAAAAACCCCATAGCTTTCATGCTTCCGGCTTCTAGATCTTTGATCCCTTGAAGATCATCGTATTCTCCTCCCCACCTGAGCGATAGTGACAATATTATCATAAGACTAAGAAGAATGAAGTTAACAGATACTACCGGGAAAAGACATATGAAGCTGTATCCCTGGTTACGAGAGCAAGGATCTTTCACCTCCTTATCCTTACTCATAGATTCAAATTTAAAAGTCACGATGTGGTACAAGTTACAACAATTTACAATCGCCATTTTTTTATATCATTCATCGGGATCTTTCTCGCTTCTACATAAGGAGATATCCTCAGCCGTTGTATGCAATGATACTGGTACAGCATACTATCACTTTTTTCTACAACCAGCCCGAATCATCCTTATCTTCTAAATGCAATCTTTAACTGACTTTCGATACGAATCATTCTCTTATCCCCGAAATCTCAAACGAGATAGCTTCATCTACGCCCGCTATTGAGATAGTGGGGTCATACTCCTGGTTGCCGAAGTAACCATTATCTGTTCTGTGACTTCAAAATAGACAATGGAAAAGCACCGTTACAATGTTGTATAGTACCTTCTCATGATATACAGTAGTGCAGCGGACCTCTTGTACTGTACTGTACAAAGTAGTGACATTTTACCTCGAGCAAGTGGGTGGGCTGACTCCGAGAGACTTCGAGACACCACATCTGTTACACCACAGGAGGGGTGATCCTCAATCGAATTTCGAACTGAACTCGTCGTCCATGTCCATCCGATTATGTGATGAACCATAGGCGGAACAATCAGAACTCAAAATCCTCTCAAGACAGGAATGAAGCATAGCCACTTGGCACAGAAATTCATCAAGAAGCTCTCGCCTTGGCAGATATCTTCGAGTCTTGGGGTACTTTACTTGCGAATTCGAATATCATGTCAGTACATGTATGTATACCCAAGTGCTCTCTCCATAATGAAGCCACTCCAGCTCTACCTTCTCAAAAGCATCAGGTGCATCATCGTCGACCCTTTCGAGTGTTGTCTGATCAAGTCTCATACATTGATCGTACGCGGAGAGGAAATTTGTATGTGGATATACCCCTCAATTGCATTGACATTGGAAATCAGTGGGGACGGTTGAATAGAATCTATGCCAGTACTAGGTCATATTTATGTACTCATTATTGCTAGACTTGGTGAATTCGGTGCCATAGTATCCAATGTGCAAGCTCTTATGATTTAGTGAGGATTTGAAGTTTCTTTGTGATCATTGTTAGTTAATTTACTCATAAACCAGGGACAAAATATACTTATATGATTTCCAGAGCTTGATGTCATTGACCTGAACCAGTGGGAATTCAAATGCAGACTTTGATAACAGCTTCATTCACTCATTCAATGCTCCTTCGGATAACTCGAGGACTCGAGGCTTTGCAAGGTCACGGGATGCCAAGACCATTTGCCCAGATCGGAATTCGCTTACCAGGTTCATTTTATCGCCCAAGCTTCTGATTAAGTGTTCAAGAAAGTTCCATAATACGTTCCACCCACGGTACAACTTTCGACATCTTGACAACTTTCAACGTCGTTGTACATAACATTTCAGAAAACAGAAGAAACTTGTACTTACAGAGCCTATTCAATCTAGAAGAGCGCTGCATTTCATCAATTTCTACAGACCTTCCCACATTGTTACTGCATCGCCCCTTATGCCAGTCTTCTAGACCTTGGAGCTCATTCTCCCATAATTTGTCTGCGTGGCCTTACTTGTCCTTATCTTCCCGGTTCAATTGATCTGCGTTCACCCTGTCCTCAATCTCTCAGCAATTCTTCAGGTAAGTTCTGATCTCTGTTCAATTGTGATTGTTGCGGGAAACATACTATTCATTACATCATATACTAATGTACTTGCCATGTCATAGAATTACTAGTCGATTTCAACCTCAACCTCGTCCATATTCTACAATCTTAACATCAAATCATTCCAACTATGTCTACCGTCGATACTGCTGTGCCAAATGGCCATTCCGAAGCCAACGGTAATGGGCCTGAACTTACTCGGGCTCAGAAGCTCATGCAACAACACCATCATGAACATCAACCCAGCATTGAGGAAGTCCCCGATGAAGAAGATTTGAAGCATGGTGAACAACC